CATGAAATGCCCGGTCTAGACAGAAAACTCGTTGAGCATCAGTTGCCCATTAAAGAAGGCTACTTAACACACCAACAAACTCCGTTACGCATATCCATTGAAACATAATTAAAAGTTAAAGAAAAGTTAAAACGATTGCACAAAGCTGGATTCACCAGAACAGCCAGTATATAAATGAGAAGAGAAATACTCATACCGATAAAAGGATTATTTATATTTATATTTTTAATTAATATGTAATCTAAATTATAATAGGATGAAAATTGATTGATCGTACGTTGTTGCTTCCACCTTATCCAAGTACATCAAATCTAAATTATTGATGATGAGAGTTGAAGATGCAAAACACAAAGTCACCTCCCAGCATAGCATGGGAAACCATTGGGGAGTGGGAGGCAGAGTCATGTACACGCACGCGTGCTTGAGAAAAGGAAATCTGAGTGAGACTTCTTTATCCTAAAAACAAATGTTGGGTTGGGATTGAAAAGTGGAAAGCTTTGGTCCATGAACATGGACGAAAGCTAAAAAAGTTAATGGATTTATTTATGATACATGATTATGTCCAAAATCGGTTCGAGTAAATATTCTTCTAGCTAATGATGCATGGATTATCCAAACCTGCCCTTTTTAGGCGACATGGCATCAGTAGAAACCTAGGGTTCATTTACTTTAAATAACCCTTTTCTTCTATTATTTCAGTTCAGGAATAATTAAGCACACTATTTTTCCCCTTTATGAGAGATTTGTGTATGATGGCAATATTGCGGGGAACGTGGCTATTGGCTAGCCATTTGATTAGGATATGGTGGAGAAAGGAAAGGAAAACTATTTCAACTGCAACATTATTCAATTCTATTCACATATATTATATCGTTCTAGGAATCATGTGAGTGGCTTAGTTTGAGAATTATTTCATGATGTTCTCCAGAAAGTCTTCTTCATAGAATGATATCATAGCCAATGCAACAAATACTTGCACACAGTCGAATGAGTTGTATATGGGACCCTTTTGTACAAGTGTCGTGTGAATATAGACGAGATGTGTACGCACAAGACTCAAGGGTGGTGGATTCTTCCCTTATGTGATATGTTTGTGGGATAATTTGTAGTGGACTATATATTTAAGAGGCTTAATTACATTAATGGCTTCTAAAACTTCGGTCAAAATACAAATTAACCCTCACAAACTCAAAATGTTCACTTTCATTATTTGATCGAAGTTTGATGACCTATGGAGGGTGGCTGTGGTATGAATTTGGGGGTTGGGTGTCGGAGAGAGAGCGAGGGAGAGAGAATTTTGTTTTTGGTTTTTAATATTTTATTCAATTTAAAATGCACAGTGTCACATATGCAACTAATAGAGAGATCTTATCGAAATCTTAACGACGAAATTATATTATAAAAAATTAAAAAAACCAAAGTATTTAATTGTAAAAAATAAAAAAATAAGAATTAATATCTTAGATATGTGTAACCACATAATACTAAACTATAATTAATCCATCTAATAACATAAGAACGCAGAGGCCATAGCCACAGGTATCCCATTCTAACAGAGCCAATAATATATAGAATTATACAATTGCATAGAATACGAGGAAGATGCTAGACAACAAAGTAAGAGAAAAGAAAGAAAGACCCCAAAAAGTTAAGTAGATAAGACGATAAGCCTTATATGAGTCATCCAACCAATTTTAAGCCATGAGACTTTGGGTGCACACGAACAACCTCTCTGCAATTCTAGAAACCACGCACCCTTTTTGTCTTCCGTTCTCTTTAACTAACATTTAACAACGTCCTTGTCATCAATTCTAGCTCATACGCCTTTATATCCAATTGATGGAATGGAAGCCTACTTATTAGGCTATATATGGCTAGCTAGCTAATAAAATAACTTTGCCCAATGCCAGAGATGATGATCCTTATCGTTAATAGACTATGCGACGGCACAAACACAAAATCCTTGTAAATGAATCACACACCACAAAGAAAGTAAACAAACACACAATAACACAAATATTTATAGAGATTCGGTAACGTGCCTACGTCCTCTTTGATGATTTCCCTGAGAAATTTAAGTAGAAAAATAGAAACAACTAGTTGTTTGGTTTACAACTCAAAACCCCTTAGCTCTCTATTCTCTAAAACTCTAAGTCTTAATTTCTCTCACACCCTTGCTCAAACCCTTTGATGCTCTAGTAAACTTCCCAAGAATTCCCTCTTGAATTCTCTTGTGACTCTATCTTCTAAACTCCCCGGCCTCTCTTTGGCTTGGCAAGTTTAACCCAGTCCTAAAAGTCATATTTATAACCCTAAACAAACCCCGAAAAAATAAGAAATCACGTCAAAACCAAGCTAGAGCCAAAACACTTGCCTGCATTCCACACAATTCCTCTCTTGCTGCTTCTTTCTTGCAGCCCATTGGTTCCTTATTCCTTCGACATTTATGATGAGCCAACTTCAACACATTAGAATAGTTTAAAATATTGTTTTTGTAAAATTTAATATATATATTTAAAATGGAGAGTGGGAAAGTTATCACTTTCACGAGCCAGGACATAAATTAACATATGCACATGCACGGTTCAATGGGTACATGCATGAGACTTAACTAGTGTACCCTCTAAATATACCCAAGACCATGTGTCTCTATAAGATCCACAATTTTGGCTATATTTCTATCTCTTATAATGGATATCGAATATCATTTGCAATTATAACCCGTGATCTATCCTTTTCAAAATGAAATTCATTATGCTTATTTACGGCTGAGAATGGTACCAGCCACAGTACTAGCAACAGTAGTTGTACAAGAGACGATACTGAAAAGATTTTCATGAGAGAGAGAGAGAGAGAGCGAGAAAACTTTATCAAAGATGGGAAATTTCGTGAAGGAGGGTGTGGAAAAATAATGTTGGGGAAACAAATGGAGAATGTCAATTTTGTGGCCAATGATATATCGAGTTGGATGCGGCAACGAGAAGAAGATGGACCATACATGTTTCTTTCCATGGTATATTTTCTTTTGAGTTGAAGGCTACCTCCATTGAATCAGATTCTAAATGTTAAAACCTTCATATCCATTGCTCTTGGACTCTTGTTTTGCTCATGCTCATGACGCATCATACTCATCACAACATATTTCACAATCTAATCCATAGGAGAACAGAAAAATATGCGCTAAAGCTTGCCCACGTGCGTGCGTGCGTGCGTGAGTAATTGTGACCTATTATACATCGCAAAAATCATACACATTAAGATCTGACCATCACTCATGCATGTGCGTAGGCGACTACCATAGAAATTGAGGGTTGATATGAAATGAAACGAGAGTACTTGATATTTGCCTAGCTTCTGACAGTTCAATTGGTAGTCCTGTTTCATGTGAACATAATCTTCCTTCATTCTGGTCCATAATTTTGTTTATGTGTTTCACACCATATGGTCCATTCGTTATCATTGTGAACGTACTTCCCTTCAGCTGTCATTATGCACTTGTATCATATATACATAGCATAATCATCACATACGTACACATCCAACAGATCAATGGTACCCGAAGCACCACGTGGCACGACTAATTAAAATTCTTCCATGTTAAGTATACTTTTTGACCAAGTAACCTTCCCTTCTTTTTCTTTTTTCTGTCAAAAATGTAATCTTCCCTTCTTTTTTATCCATATATGGATTGAGATATTGAAATCAGATTAAGGATATAAAAGTGGGGCACACGATATTCTCTGTACTTAGCCTCCGCATCATAGATTGTGAATGCTTTGCCAATTCAACCAACTTATTATATATTTTGAGTGGCTTCTTTTGATATATATAGGTTGAGTTTTGAGAGCACCAAATGCCATCTCTATCAGAGGGATGCATGTCTCCATACAAAGCCCTATAAGACATGAAATTTATGTGCAAGTGGTGACATATATTTTTTTCATGTCTTTTGCTAACAGGAGAGGACCACATAGGAAAATCCCAATGTGTTGTTAGGGTAGGCAGTGAAATACCAATTATGTCCAAATCCAGCCAACAACATATCTTGTATGGGACAATGAGAATTTCAGTACAGTACCCATCAAAATCTATTCTTCTCACCCCTCCGCACCTTCCTCCTAAATTTACAACCCAATAAGTCAAAGTTGTCATTGGAAGTCAACCCTGAGGAAATTCATGAGTCTAATCTAAAACTGCCAATTGGGTTAGTTTTTTGAGGGCTGTGCATGGGGAAAAGTATAATACATTATCAAGAGACAAAGCATGCCTTACTACATGATCAGGAGTCAAATCATTGATGATTAAAGCTGTACAATTATTTATTTTTTTGTTTTTGTTTTTGTCAAATTACACATATTTGTATAAGGATACTATTTGCCTTCTCCGCTTGCAAAGAGATTCATTATTCATGCGAATTACAGTTTGACACATATAGATACATATCCACGGCACAATGCTATTAACAGGAAGTATGACCCACAAAAACAAAACACCATGTATTTGGTATGAACCAAACTGAAAATTCCAATCAAAAACCTCATCTAAGAACACAACACCCGGGCCACCTCTTTCCTCTTTGAAGGCCAAGTACTATTTGCGTGGAAGAAGATCACAATCCAAAGCCTGCCTTATCACACAGGATAAAAGCTCTGTCCAAAACCATATGCCCCTGGACAAAACGCAAAGCAGCATCACAACACAAAACAAACCTGTCACGAACAATTCACAACCAAACCAAAAGAAAAAGGGGAAAAAAGGGAAAGAGCCAATCTACTTCTCCCCACACAGATACTTCCGTAGCAATATAAATACCACTCCATCCACATACGAAACTCTCAAGCTACCACCACCCACTCACCACTCTCCACCTAATTCCCATTAATTTCCTCCAACCCCCAAATAAAAAAATAAAAAAACTGAAAATTAAAATTAGAAATCTCCAAACCTAGCTAAAGGAGATCAGTAAACAGTGAAGCCCCTACTCCGGTTAACAGTCAAAGATGGTCAGCACCAGCATAATCGACGCCCTCAACGTCCGCGTGGTCGGCTCCGGCGATAAGTTCCTCGTCCTCGCCCACGGCTTCGGCACCGACCAGTCCGCCTGGCAGCGCATTCTCCCTTACCTGACGCAGTCCTACCGCGTCATCGTATACGACCTCGTCTGCGCCGGCAGCGTCAACCCGGACTACTTTGACTTCCGTCGTTACACCACCCTCGACGCCTACGTCGACGACCTCCTCGCCATTCTCGACGCCCTCTCCGTCACCCGCTGCGCCTACGTTGGCCACTCCGTCTCCGCCATGATCGGAATTCTCGCCTCCATCCGCCGACCCAACCTCTTCTCCAAGCTCGTCCTCATCGGCGCTTCTCCCAGGTAATCGGCCAACCATGTAAATCGAATCATTTAAAATTTTGCCTCAATTACGCGCGCAATTGACACATTATTCAATTACCCACAATGTTAAATTCTCAAAATTGAACCCAATAATCCAATTTTTCTTGTTTTTAGATTTTTGAATGATAGAGATTACCATGGCGGATTTGAGCAAGAGGAGATTGAGAAGGTGTTTTCGGCAATGGAGGCGAACTACTCGGCGTGGGTCCAAGGCTTTGCGCCGTTAGCCGTCGGAGCCGACGTGCCGGCGGCGGTCCGAGAGTTCAGCAGGACCCTTTTCAACATGCGACCCGATATCTCGCTTTTCGTATCTCGGGCCGTCTTCAACAGCGATTTGAGGGGGGTTCTGGGCCTGGTCAGAGTGCCCTGCTGCATAATCCAGACGGCGAAGGACGTGTCCGTGCCGGCTTCGGTGGCGACTTACCTGAGAGACCACCTGGGCGGTCGGAACACCGTCGTGATGCTGGAGACGGAGGGGCACTTGCCCCATCTGAGCGCGCCGAGCCTGCTGATAAGGAAGCTGCGGCATGCCCTTTCGTCGTCGTAGGTGGGCCCCACAGTTTGTAGTAGCTAACGAAGCGGGGCCCCCGGAGAGGAGAAATTGCAATAAGGATGGGAGATGGTGACACCTGTCCCTAAAGGTGTGGACGTTGGTCCTTTAGGGGCGAAACCACTTTGGACTATATATGATATCTGCGGGGAGGATAAGAATCTCCATGTGATTGTCACGTGATGAACAATTGTCATCCTTCCTTTTTTCTTTTTCTTTTTCTTTTTTTTCTTTTTTTTTCTTTTGTGGTTTGGAATCTGCTTTAATTTCTACTTGTACTTGGCTTATTACATGGACTTTTTTTCTTCCCCTTAATTTTAAAAATATCTACTTTGCTCCGTATCCATACTATGATTATTTATCGTACATACAAGCAGATCTAATTAAATAAGTTCGGCATTTCAAAATTAAATAAGTTCGGAAACCAATATTGTAGGTATAAGGCAATATAATGTCCAATCACTAATAAAGTTGATCTTAAATATATAATTAATCACATTATTTATGAGAATTTGCTCAAGCATGATCGTTACACCGCCACATAAATAGACTTTAATATCAAATTTGTACTAAAATTGCCATATCACATCATATTACCAATTCCAGATTGGAACTCAACTCATGACTGCTAGTCCAATGTGTATGAGTTCATATAAAACTATGTCAAAAAAACTCTTAAATTTGCCGATGATTTTTGAATATACCAAATTCATTAAATGTAAGCATTACTTCTGCTTTTGTTTTTGTTCTTGTTGATATAAATATTCTTTCATTCAATGAAATAACTAAACAGATAAAATCGCATCATCTTATGAAAAAAATATTAATTACTTTGGTCGGCCCATAAAATCAAGAAAAGAAAGAGAGAACGAAAAAAAAAATAAGTATTTTAAGTACTATATATGCATGCAATTCCTTTCTTCATGATTGGGTGGCGGACCCAGAAATTGCACACACGAAGGGAGGGGAATGCATCATATAATGGTCCAAAAAGCTAATAAGGGATAGTTAAGTTGGTAAGGTTCATGTTTTGTGTGTAGTCCCGCTAGTGTTTAAGTCATGCTGCCAACAGTTCTCATTAATACACGATATATAATTTTCTACATAAATTCATATCCGTGGCAATTGACAGTTGGGTGCAATGCGTAAGTCCTTTCAACTCGAGGTTGTGGATATGCCTTGACGTTGGTAGTGAGGATAGCTAATCTACCCATAAACTTCTTTTTTAAAATTTTAAAAAATAGAAATAAAAAGTCCATGGTCCAAAAACAGAAAATAACAAATAACCCACATGGAAGAATAAACCTCAGAGAACTTGTTTAAAAATTCGATTTGTCAACAATGAAAAAAACAAAAACAAAACGAATCAGAACGAAGATCTTTCACAACTATGCAGGGACCATGGCCACGTTTGGTCTCGACGTAAGTCTGCCCATCTATGGTTTGGGTTACGCATGTCCTTTTATATCCAAAACCTCCAAGTTATTTTACAGCCCAACTCAACAACACTGGGCTCCCTTCATCCCCACAAGCCCAGTGGACTCTCCACAGTCCTCTTTGCCTGTTAGGGTTTGCCAAAGTCCAACCAAGCTATTTATGATTTTCTTTTTGGGCCGAAGTTAGGAAGGGGGAGTCATTCTATAGTGAGGGCCTATGGCTCTTAGGTGAGGTTCTATCTCTTAATTGTTGGATCAGGCTAACCAATTTGATCCAACGACTAATCGATTTGATCCAATAGCTCATCAATTTGGTCAAACGGTTAAGAAATAAGGTCTCACCTAAAGATCACATATAAGGCTTTCATTATAGAATTATTGTAGGAAGAGCATATAACTCTCAGGTGAGGTTCTATCTCCTAACTGTTGAATTAGGTTAATCAATTTAATCCAATGACTAACCAATTTGATCCAACAATTAAAAGATAGGGGTTCACCTAAGAGTCATATACAAGACTCTCACTATAGAATTCTTGTAGGAAGGGGAGTGAGTTTTCACACACACTGTCAATGTGCTATAGAGGTTCGTTTGAACATGAAACCACTAGTATGCAAGTCAATGCTTTATTCGACTGGACTAGACCCCATATTGGAAAATATATATTTTTGCCATAATTTTTAATATTTTCATTTTTATTTTTGCCTGAATGAGAATCTAAGCCCCACGAATAATAATATTTAATGAATGATTTTGACAAGCAAACGAAAGTTTGGTGTCCAATCTGAAGTTGCGGAGAAGACCCAACCTGCTAGCTTATATGATTAACACCATTAAAGACTAACACAGAATGAAACTTATCCAAAAAGAATAAAAAAATAGACTATAAACAGTCACAAGTATGGTCAAATTTGGAGGCCAATTGGTTGCTGTATCGTTGTCTTTACTTTCACAGAGGAAAGAGAGACGATGTCGCTCAACACTCAACAGTGAAGTCAAGAGGTAAAAGACGAAATATTGCTCGTGTTAAATGCTCTAAGGTTGAGGCCAATCAAGGCCTTTTCACATTCATTTTTTTATTGTGGGTGGGTACAAGTAGTAGAAGTAGATGGTATACTTGCCCATTGTCATAGCCGCCCCCTTCCTTATGATCCAAGCAAGACCTGGTATTGTTCAATTTTTGAGCCATCCATCCATGGGCTACATATAGCTAAAAGGAACATTGCACCCAATTTTATCAAAATTCAAATGTTAATTATGATGTTTTTTTTTGGGGTTTTTTAAGTATCGGTAAGGGATTTGAAATTGAAATTTGAATTATATGGGTGGTTAGGCAAACACCGGTAAAGTAGTGTGGAAGCTTCTTATCATTAGTAGCTAATTTATAAATTAATTTGAAGGGATGGTAGGTGATATGATGTTTTGGATCCATGTATGTATTATTTCTTCCCGCTCGCTGACCATAAAAACCAATGCAAACAAATGGTGATGTTGATGGTGATAACGGGACGCGTTGATTTCTATTTGAAACTTAGGTGTTGAACCTTCCATCTACAAATAGGCTTTCTATCATAGCAGAATTTTATGCCATCGCCTATGGGGAAGTAACATAATCATCAAAGTCGACTAAAATCTAAAACATATCAAGAAAAATTTAGAAAATATGTCAAAGGTTAAGGCCGTTGGTTCACACAAAAGGAATTCATGATTTTTGTCTTGACTTTCCACTTAAAAGTAAAATGAAATTCAAGTTGTTGTACTAAAGGTTACATTTTTCCTTAACTAAATATGGGAACTTCACAACACTTGCCAAATATCCAATTTGGGATATTAGTTTACCATATTTTTCTTAACCCAAGGTGTATTCATTCTCAACATTTGACACGTGTCTATATGCATAATTATGGTTTCATAAATACAAAGTAAAAAACTAATTATGGTTATATCTATAGACATAAATCAAGTACTAATAAAAATAGTAATGATACGTCTTAAGTTGAAGTGGTGAAAAAAATATTTCCGTTTTAATTAATCTGTAGTTGATACTTGAAATTTCCATGGCCAAATTCAGTTGTTGTCAGTGAGCCAAGCTTTCTCCTGTTTTGTATAATTGGAAGACCAAACAATATCTATTTATTTAAAACTCTTAAGCCCTAACGTGGATGATGACATAGTGGATGTGATGGGGACTGCAGGCTGAATTTGAATCTCACAACCCTAAACCCCAAGAAGCTCGGCTCAATTATCTCAATTTCCAGTCCATTTGTCAAGCATAAAGTAGAAAAGAAGGAGAAGAAAAAAAAGCTCATAAATGGCGTCTTCATATTCGAAAGAACGTGTCGAATTCATATTCGCCAACCTACACTATAGCCGTCAACAATGGGACCCAGAGAACAGCGACCCCATCCATGATGGGACTAAACGACCAACCGCTACAAATAACGGCAAAACGCACACGTGGCAAACACTTGGGTGGCATAATAATGTTCGAAAAATTAAAGGTTAATTATATAAAAACAAACGTTGCTTGCTTACGAAACGATCACTCTCCTCCTCTACTGCTCTTATCCTAAACAGGAAAACTTATTTCTAACGGATATAATACTATTTTGCTATTCTCAACTATTAATACAATAATACGTTGAAAAGTTATTTCACATATCATTACGTTGTTGGTTAAAAATAACAAAATGTATTATTTTCATTTTAAGAAAGTCTTTATTCCTCCTAACCCATTTGGACTGCCATCAGTTTCCCGTCGTCATTCTCATGCACGCGAACCTCGTGGCGATGACTTCAAAATCAAACACACAAAAAGACATTGATTTTTCTTATTTATCTCTTAAAGCATAATCGCACTCTCAGCAGCGACCCTCCAGAGTTCAGACTGCTTTTTTATCTCCCACTCGATTAATAATTATCTTCATTTATATTTTATTATAATATGTGGCTAGTATAGAAGATACTTTCCTTTCATTATAAATTTATTATTTTCTCTCCTTAATCAGTCCCTAATTTGAATTAACAATGCTAAAAAAATACTAATCCTCAAAGACAATGATGATAACACACTATTCTGAGCTTTTATACTAAGTGGTAGGCAAAGGGACGCATTTCTTTTGAGTAAATAAACATAAGCTCCAAAAAGGCAAACCAAACTGAGCTCGATTTAATGCTTTTATCACAAATTTTACAAGCTGAGCCTGAAGCTCCTCCGAAACATAGATATTTACAAGTTTTCGATTTTCATTTTTTGGTTGTTGTTGTGTTTTACTCTTCTCTTTCAGTGTTGGATTGTTTACATGGCCATGGGGGGTGGTGATGTTGGAGCATTTTATAATGACACGTCTGACGCTCGTGCAGCGACGTTGCCGGATCTCGGTTGCCGTAGAAGCTCTGTCAATGTCTCCGCCTGTCCCCAAAAAACACACAAAACGACAAACAAAAACAATTTCCCGTCAGACCCCAATTATACGATATTAAAAAAAAAACCAATCCACCTAAACCCCAAAATAAATACAAATATAATGGCTGAGCGAGCACCCCACCGATGACAATGACATTACTAGCCTTCATCTAAATGCATAATGCCATGATCGGGCGAAAACTTATGCTCCCACATATTATGCAGAGGAGCGCCCCATTTATAAAAAAAAAAATGGAGTGCTTCCAAAAAAACTGGGCTCTTATCTTGTTCTATTTTTATAAATATTTTTTTGAAAAAAAGAAAAAGGAATGGCAGCGCTACATGGCCCGAAATTATGCAAGCCGACAGACGTGGCAAAACAGAGTTTTCTTCTTCCCAACCCCACAAACAAAAGAACCCATTAATTGGAGAATATTTTCAAAAAAGGCCACACCACGTCATCAAGCTTGGTCCTCGACCAGTGGACCGGCTTGACCAAAGAAAAAGCAAGGAAGGATTATTATTTTGCAGCCGGAAAATGCTCACCTTTTGCTTGGCGCGATTTGTGCCGGACTGTGACAAGGCCACAAGGGGAGGAATCGCTCCTTCGCGGGCCACCATATTACGGTGCACCGCACTGTTCTCGCAAATCTGAAGCAATATCGCCACCGAAATCTCCTTCTGCCTCTGCGACCCCACCTCTATAATCTCCACCAGCACCGGAATTCCTCCTTCTTCGACCAACGCCGCACGAGCCTCCGACACCGAAACGAGAACGCTCAGGACGTACGCTGATTTGTCCACCATGTTCGACCCGAAATCCGCCATCAATTCCACCAACGGCTTCATGATTCCCGATTGGACGGCTCTGATCTTGTTCTCCTTCACGGAGCACAGCGAGTACAGAGCCGTCGAGGCGTCCTTCTTCCCGCGAAAACCTCCGCTCTCGAGAAGATTTACCAGCAGCGGAATCGCTCCTGACCGTCCAATTGCGACTTTGTTTTCTTCGATTTGCGATAGGCGGAGCAGAGCGCAAGCTGCGTTCTCTTTGGCCGTCGGCGTTCCTGTCTTTAGCGATCGTACCAAAGGCTTGATTGCTCCGGACGAAGCTATGAGCTCCTTGTTCTCGTCGCAGAGCGAAAGGTTCAGAATCGCCGTGACGCCGTACTCTTGTAGCTGGAGATCGGAACACGATAAGAGCGAAACCAACGGCTTAATCGCGCCTGCTCTGGCGATTTTGAGCCGGTTTTCGGACTTGTTCTTGGCGAGGAGCCTGATCTCCATGGCCGCCTGCTTCTGCTCCTCAATCGAACCGGCCTCGAGGTCGGCGATGAGCTGGCGAATCAGATCGTCGGAGTTGTCCGAAGTGCAAGAAATCAGAAGCCGACGGCTCTGAGACGACGCCGTTTGAAACTCTCCGGATCTGTCGCTGTTACAATCACTGAAAGCAGAGGAGTGTTCACCGTTACTCAGATCACTGAAATTCCTTCCAAGGTAACTGAAATCCGCCGGATTTTCCATTTCCATGGCCAAAATTGTCAGCCCTCACTGCATCCAATACTCTCCCGAAACAATTGAGAATGAACGAAATTTCGGGTTTGCTTGGTCCGAAAGTGAGAGATTATTCGGGTTGTGGTTCTGCTTTTGTGGCTTTGGGTCGGGCTCTTTCTGAAAAGGAAGGGGAGATGGCGAAGATATAAGAGGGCTGCGAGAGTCAACACGTGGATGAAGTCCTTGGGGCTCTCGCTGACACGTGCGCCTTCACTGGGAGGGAACCAAAAATCCCAGTCCGGGCAAGCACACGTACGAAGCGTGGCTTTAGACGCGTGCGTGGAAGGTTCGCTATTCGATAAAAGTTTCGAAGCTGGTGAACTCCTTCCTTCTCTTTTTATCACATTTATATGCTTTTTTGTTCTTACAAAAATAAATAATAAAAAAACAAAAAGAAAACTGAAAGGTTTAATTCCGGTACAGCCGGTGATGTGCTGCTTTATGGTACGTTTGTGTGCTAGTTTTTGCCACGTAGCACATGAATAGAAGAACTTATTTGTTTATTTTGAGCTAATTGGGCTGCACATGGTTTGATCCAAAATGTTCATCTATACACGAGAGGAAGTCAGGCCCGCCCATAGCGGGTGAGGCAATATTCATTATTTTTGGTTTTATTTATTTATTTTTAATAATCACAAAACATTTTTAAGGTTCACGGATTGTAAACTTGAGGGGCGTTTTGTGATAAAAATTATTATTTTATCTAAGTAAATAAATACTAAGAGAAGAAAAAAAAACAGTCTCTAAGAGATTTCTCCTGGTAATGCTGGCTGTGTTATATGGGATTTGTGTACATATTTGTTTAAGTTAAAAAAATTCGGCAGAGTACACTTGGACTAAACCAAAGGAACCACATTAGTAATTATATGAATGCTTTTGTTTATATGTTACATCAAGTACGTAGTTGAGCGATTAGGAGAACTGAATTAGGGATTATGAATGCGACATCTAAATTAACAATTAAAATAATTTAATTGGAAGGCACATAATCAGAGCATGTCAAGAAGTGCTGATGTACATACAGAAAAACAAAAAAAAAAAAAAAAAAAAAAAAAAAAAAAAAAAACTCTTTAAAAAAATAAAAAAATAAAAAAAACGATGATAGTATTTTATTGATAGGAGGATAAATAACTAGTAAAAAAAACCGGGCTATGGCCATCTCTTTTATTCCTTCATGGGCTGTGTTGTTTTTATGCTGCGGAAAATGGTCCCGAAGGGCTTGTTTTGTGCCTTTGTTTGTTTGTTTGGTTTTCATATACTTCTTTTATGTGGCAGGAAAAAGAGAAATCAGAAATGAAAGTTTAAATGGTGGAATTATTTATACATGCTGCCTGCATTCATAAGTCTGCAAGCAAGCAGCCAGCCAACTGATACTGGTTGCCTCGTTAGATTAGGATTCTGATCGGAACATTTGTGTTTTACCCATCAAATCATCATGCTCGGGTAACCAGTTTCATAATTTTGTATAGGATTGGCACTTGGCTGCCTGCCTGCATGATGCAACCAACTAAGCATGTTACCCTAAATCAAGATTATTTAATACATTAAAAAAAAGAATAGTTTTTGGTAAAAGCAGTTGACATTTAACAAGCTTATGATGCAGCCAAAAGAGAAGAAAAATTGTTTTTGCAAACTCTTCTTCTTACCTCAGCCAATTGCAGTTGACTTAAGCTCTACTGTCGTATTAATCTGATTCCCGGTACAAAAATCACAGACGTGTGTGCTTAACTCAATGGAAGGAGATTGTGGTTTTTGGTTTTTGGGTCCTCAATTTCCACCGACGGCTAAATTGTCTAGATTACACATTTTTCAACAAGTGCTTTCATAGCTCAGTTGGTTAGAGCACCCGTTTAGTAAGCGGGAGGTCTTGAGTTCAACTCTCAATGAAAGCAAATTGTTTCATATTTTCTATCTTTCACTTTTGCTACGCCTTGTAGATTGTACCATTATATAATTATTGAACGAGAAAGTTAACAACAGTGCTTTCATAGCTCAGTTGGTTAGAGCACCCGTTTAGTAAGCGGGAGGTCTTGAGTTCAACTCTCAATGAAAGCAAATTTTTTCATATTTCCTATTTTTCACTTTTGCTGCGCCTTGTACATTGTACCATTATATAATTATTGAACGAGAAATTTAACAACAATGCTTTCATAGCTCAGTTGGTTAGAGCACCCGTTTAGTAAGCGGGAGGTCTTGAGTTCAACTCTCAATGAAAGCAAATTGTTTCATACTTTTTATTTTTGCCATGCCTTGTTAGATTGTACCATTATATAATTATTGAACGAGACAGTTCACAACAGTGCTTTCATAGCTCAGTTGGTTAGAGCACCCGTTTAGTAAGCGGGAGGTCTTGAGTTCAACTCTCAATGAAAGCAATTTATTTATTTTATTTATTTTTTTGGTTTTTGGATAACTCAGTTTTCCTTGCCGTGCATATAATCCACCAGGCAATATCGTTTTCCCCACGCACAAGAAGCGTTTTTTCCTGATCCGCCAAAAAAACCCATAAATAAAAAAGGGTTTTACATAAACCCCAGCCAGCCCCTCTTTCTCTGAAACCCTCCCAAAAGTTTCTTTTGCTCTCTGCAAGTCTCGCTACTCCATCTGCAAATATGTCTACCAAAGGCCCTGCTCTCTTCTCCAACATTGGCAAGAAAGCCACAGGTCTCTCTCTTTCTCTCTCTCAGTTTTTGTTCAGTGGATTTTGAATTTCTTTTTGAATTTTTACTTTATTTTTCTTACGGGTCTGTTATTTGTTTCTTCGTTTGCAGACTTGCTTAACAAGGACTATAGCACTGACCAGAAGATCAACATCACCACTAACACTGAGACTGGAGTTGTAAGCTCGTCCCCATTCACTCATATGATACCATCTCTTGTTTTCCAAAATAACAATTTCCACTGTTCTTGTGATTTTTGGTTTTCCAATGATTTTTCAGTTTGCTCTCTGTTATGTTATGTTGTGTTTTTCAATTTAAACAATCAGTTGTGTGTTGGTCGGATTTTCTTTTCAATTGTTTCTTTATCTTTTGTAATGGGCAAATCTTTCTTGAGTCACTACACAGTGGATTGGAGTGCAGAAATTGGATTTTCACAGTTGCATACTTTGCTTTTCCCCCCCTCTATCTTCTTCAAAGAATAAAAGTGCAGTATCTTGAAATATATATGTAAAATATTCTGGGCTGTGGTTCTTGAAGTTATAAGTTTCAAGTCACGCAACTCGTAAATAGCTGCTTAGTGCTTCACCGTCTTGCTTATGAGGGATGCGTTTCTTATGATGGCTGCTTCTTTCCATTATTGATTGCTTTGTGTGCTTTTCTTCAAGGCTTAAAGCAGTTAGATATGATAAATTTATCTCTTTTATTTCAGACCCTCAACTCTGGTTTGGTGAAGAAAGGAGGTCTCTCTTGTGGGGATGTAGCAGCACAATACAAATACAAGAATGCTGCACTTAACGTCAAAGCTGATACAGAATCAAATGTAGTCACTGGCCTTCCATTTCCCTTCCGAATTTCGAATTATGATAATATCTAACGCTAGTCTCTTTGTTGAGCAGGTCTCAACAATGCTTATGATCACAGACATCCTGCCTTCTACAAAAACCATTGCTTCAATAAAACTCCCTGATTACAAATCTGGCAAGGTATTAACTTTTCTTAGCCTGAGAAGTGCGCATGAATTTACAATTATCACTGCAACTGATATCCATTTATATATATTGCAGTTGGAAGTGCAGTATCTTCATGAACATGCATCTTTTACAACAGCTGTTGGTCTGAACGGTTCCCCTGCTGTTGACGTTTCGGCAACCCTTGGTACCCCTAGCATTGCTTTCGGAGCAGAAGCTAGTTACTTGACAAGTTCCAGAGTGTTTGCAAAGTATAATGCTGGTGTCAGCTTGACAAAACAAAATTCCTCTGCTTCAGTAATTCTGTAAGTTCGTCATTTGTAGACATTCTGAAATGATAGAGAATTTCTTCTTATTCGTACGTACGACAGAATGTTATGGTGAGGGTGCTTTTGTTGTGCAGTTAGTAATTGTTTTCTTTTCATTTTGAAGGGCTGACAAAGGAGACTCGCTAAGGGGGTCATACTTGCATCATCTAAGTAAGCTGAATGGAGGAGCTGTTGTGGGAGAGGTAAACAGAAGGTTCTCCACAAATGAGAACACATTGACAGTGGGATGTTCATATGTGGTTGACCCTGAAACTGTGGTGAAGGCAAGGCTCAACAACCATGGCAATCTTGGGGCTCTTTTACAGCACCAGCTCACCCCAAAATCTTCTTTAACAATCTCCGGTGCCTTTGACACCAAGGCGTTAGAGAAGAACCCGAAGTTTGGCTTGGCACTCTCCCTCAAGCCTTAAGCAGATATATTGATTCAACAACAGAGATATGCAATAGATTAATTACACACAACCTTATTGTTTTTTTTTCTGGTGCGGTTCAAATGAGAACATCTAATTACATTTGTTATAGGTATTGTTATCCCTTTGAATCTTGGTTTTGACAGAAATGTGGGAAGCTTGAGCTTATATGTTTGTGTTTGCAATAGGCACTTTCAATTTGCTAAGTGTTTTGACAATGAAACTTTTTCATCTCTACGCCGTTTCTCTCTTTCAACTTGCTTCCAAATTTCTATAGCATGCTTTGAGAAGTATGACATGCGTTTTCTTCCCTCCCTGCAATTTTCTCAACGATCGACAAATATTTCTCTTAGACATGACCGATTGGTGCAGAGGAGTTTGACAAGTCGTTTTGCTTATAATATTCAAGACAGTTACTGTTGCAATTTTCAATCCTGATGACAATTGTTTTGAAAGCAACAGAAAATATATTATAAACCAATAGGTGGCCTGCCATTCTAATTCTTTTTTCACTCGGATTTCAATGGCGTATTTTAGAGTTCGCCTGAGAAGAATTACTGTATTCAAAATCAATTTCACAATCAGTATCGAAATGAAGTGTTAGATAATTTCTTTCTTCTTTTCTTGTTGCATGTCGATGTAGAATTTTGTACCATTTAATAGAAAATTCCTCAAACTCCTGTAGTATAAGGGTTTTCTTCATTATCGACTTCGGATGTTAACTAACCCGTTTAATTTAGTATCGTCTTAATATAATAAGAAATTGTTCTAAGTTCAATAGCAAACACAGGAAAACCAACTCCTAGATTCACAGGAAATTTCGACCAAAAAAAAAGAAAAAAGATTCACATGAAATAAACAAAGAAAAAAAGAGTTGCAAGTAGCAGTAAATAAGGATTTTAGGCGAACCCAAAAAACAAAATTCTAACCTCAGAACAGATCTCCATTTTTATATGTACAGAAACACAATACAACAGGATAATAAAGAAAACAACATGGGTATTAATTTATCAATTCAGGAAGACTAATAGAAGTCACACGCAGAAATTGAGACCTCAGCTCAGACGAACTGAATCAGACCGAAGCATATAACTCTGGCACAAAAGAAAACCACCTGAAGCCACAGCTCCATTTATCAGGCAGTGAAGGGCATTTGGGCAGCCAATGCCAGGTCCTCCTTGAAACCTTGAAATACAGAACCTCCGGCCATGTGTAGCAGCAAACACAGATGAAACCCCGATGCCAAAAGCAATAGAGATGCTCGTAGTTATGAAAACAAACAGACATCAATTTTCTGCACATCATTTCTGGCAAGCTCTCCACCTCAACCCAATTCATTCCTTCACCCAATTCCCAGAGTTTCATGCTCCTTGAAATCCCATTCCTACCAACTCCACCAATCAAATACAGCTTTCCATCTCCTCCATCGCTGAGTAGCCGAACAAACATGAGCTCTCTAGGCAACTCAGTGTTGGGTCTCTCCCACTTACCGCTTTCCAAAACAAAGCACGCTACAGAGAATGGCTCCGGGGTCACAAAGTACAAAGACCCTTTATAGTAAACAGCTTCTTGATGATAATTGTCACTGAGAATTGGCTTGAAACCATTGAATTTTCGCCAAAATTGAACCTTCGAATCATAAACAAAAGTGTTTTTGGTACAAGACCCAGAAGAGACCATGAAAAGACTGTACCCAACAGGCGTGGAAACGAAAGAAAACAGCTCAAAAGCAAAAGGGTAAGCAGGGAATTCGATCACTCTTGAAGACTTGGTCAAAAGATTGAAGATAAGAAAGGAATTGGAGAGAGAGAAACAGAGCAACCCATTGGAGGTAGAGAGCAGAGAGGCTTGCCCTGCAGCGCAGGGCAGCAAGGCAGAGAGAGACAGAGTAAAGTTGCGCCAAGCACCAAGGGCAGAGTCATAGAAAGCGAAGTGGTTGTAACACTGAGGGTGAGAAAGCAAGAGGAAAGAAGAGAAGGATGAAGAAGAGGAGTGCTTGGAGATGAAAGGGGGAGAGAATAACAGAGACTTGAAGTGCTTACAAGTCGATCTCAGATTCATGAAGTTTTTGAGAGGTAGAAAAGAGAGAATACGCTCGAGGAGTTCCTGTGGTAGCTTGCTCCATAATCCGGCGTCCATCTCCGGTGGGCTCATTGGAGACTTGGAGATGGTGATGGGCTGGTCATTTGGGTTTGCCTGAGATCGAAGGTTGTTTGCTCTGATGCGTTGTCCTTTCATCTGAAAGAGGGCATTTGGGACTTCAGAGAGAGACTCCATGTACTTGAAGCTACAGGCTGATGATAAATACGAAGTGATAAAAAGCATGGACTGTTGACCAAAAAAATAAAAAGAAATAAAAAGCATTGACTTACGCTCTAATTAATTGTTTATTTATTTATAATCCACAGATAATCTAGTGTTAGCTTATTAATTATCCCCACGTCTCGCTTAAGATCTTACATTGCCTTTTCTGTTTTGTATTTTTTGAGAGTAAGGCTGATCGTTTTGAGTTGGAAAAGGGAAAAGGCATGTTCACCCAAAAAAAAGGAAAAAAGGCATGTGTCTCCTAGTTTCGTTGGGAGACAAACCCCAATAATAATAATAATAATAATAAAATTATAGAAGTCCTTAACCCACAAGGAAAGAAGACAGCAATATAAACACATTCAGTCATCGATTCACCACTATGATTGTTGTTGGCTTTCGTAAGTAGTTCAATTCGACGTCTTCTTTTTTCTACACCTGCATCCTTTTTTCCTTACCTGATTCTTATTCTGTCGCCATAGAAGATGAAGATGAAGCGAAAGAGAGAGCCAGTAAGCTTTCTTACTGTGGAACCCGAGTGCTGCACCGAGGCCGTTCAGTTGTGGGGGAATGCTAATAATACAAGGCGTCAACAGTCTAATTTGACTGAAAAGGCAAGAAAGCACCTCTCTGCCATGGGCTGGAAGTTTTGGTACACAATGCTTAAGCATGGCAAGACTGAGTTGCGTTACGAGTCTCCAACCGGAAAACTCTACAACTCGCTACGAATGGCTTGCAAAGCCTACATGAAATCCCAAGGTGGAGGAGGAGTGTTTTCCGAAAGCATTGGTTCGAATTCCGTGGGGTGCTCTTCTAGTAAGGTTACACCGCAATCATCAATGAAAAGATTACAAAAGAGAAAAGTCGATGAATCATTTAAAATTGATGATCAAAGTCCCAAGCCAAAACGAGGTAAGATTCTTGCGGATTTGAAAAGACTTAGAGATCAGAAGAAAGCTAATAGTCAGCAGGATGATATATCCACTGTGTGTCAAAATGATGATCAGAGTGATGATATATGTACTTTGTGTCATTATGGGGGTGAGCTGATCCTGTGTGATAAGTGTCCCTCTGCATTCCATACTAGTTGTCTTGGGTTGAAGGAACTGGCAGATGGCGATTGGTTATGCCCATCATGTTGTTGTGGGATGTGCGGGCATGGAAAATTTGAAGAAAGCAGCAGTGAAAAGCCTAAGGAAGATATGGATAATAGTATGCTGATATGCAACCAATGTGAGCATAAATATCACATTGGGTGCCTGAAGAATGCAGGGGTTGTGAAATTGAAATGGGATTCCAAGGGAAATTGGTTTTGCAGCAGAAATTGTGAAGACATATTTTTGAGCCTCAACGAGATTTTGGGAAAACCGATTCTGGTGGGTCCTGACAATCTTACTTGGACATTGTTGAAGCCATCTTCCTCTCATTCTGATATGGAGGACTACACAGAAAATTACAGAAAACTCAATTTGGCTCTGAGTGTGATGCATGAGTGTTTTGAGCCTTCTAGGGACCCTTACACCAAAAGGGACATTGTTGAGGATATTATTTTCAACAGAGAGTCAGAGCTGAGCCGCTTGAATTTCAAAAGGTTTTACACAATTGTTTTGGAGAGAGATGAGGAATTGATTAGTGTGGCCACTGTAAGGATCTACGTGGAGGTTGCAGAAGTACCTCTTGTTGCCACTAGGTTCCATTATCGTAGACTCGGAATGTGCGGTATTTTGATGAAGGAGCTTGAGAAACAGCTCATGAAGATGGGAGTTGGGAGGTTGACTTTGCCTTCTGCTCCAAGCGCACTCCATACATGGACCACTTCGTTTGGGTTTTCAAAAATGAAGGCGGATGAGAGGTTGCAGTTTCTGAGTTATACTTTTTTGGATTTCCAGGGTACTATCATGTGCCATAAACTCTTGAGACATAGCGATACTGGCGGATCGACCAGTGCCAACTCTACAGTAACTCAGGCAGAAGACAAACAGCTAGAGACTGGAGCTTTAGACCATGATCACAAGTTTTTGATTGACGATGTTGATAGCATGTTGTTGGACATTAACGACCCAGGTTTCTTATCATGGCATATGGGTTTAGGCTGATTCCAGAATCTTATAAGGGTAGGTACAATTTTTGACAGAGTTCTTAAAGTAATATCACATATCAACTTGTATTTTGTTCAGAATTGAGTTCCCATGAATCATCAGTTTTTTTGTCTTTTTAATTCATCAGCGTACCAATTTTTCCATCAATTTTGCTCTTGATTTTACATTAAATGAGTTTACATTTACATGCATATGCAGGCAGCAAAAACATAAAATGTAGGGATTATTATTGTGCCTATCAAGTAAAGCCTTTTGGATCTTAAAGCAAAACAGAAAACTCCAGGCTATGACAAAGATGCTTTACCTAGCAGAAATGAGGGTCAGATTCTAGAATATAACAACAGTGCATGCTAGTCACTCCAATTATCCTCGTCCTTGGGTCCTTCATCCTGCAATTACATAAATGTATAAGATAGAAGCCACTTGCCAACTAATAAGGTTAGTTACACAAAATCCATGAAATCATCAGGTGTACCACCTCATCGGAAACTGATCTGGATGGCGACCAGACTAGAATTTGTCTATCATTGCCACCGGTGTACAATTCCTACGATGAAAGACATGAATTAAAATTCATCCAGGATTGGAAATCATGACTTCGTCAATATGGCACACCAAGTGAGAGAATTCAGTCGTGTTCTGTAAACCAAGGGTGTGAATCCATTTTTGCCTTTATTGTTGAGTATATGCTAGTAAGTCAATTCTATCAGCCCATTCATAATATGTAAGGTTTACATGATTGCATTATCACCTGTAGCCAAGTTCTACATCTTCTTCTTTTTTTTATTATCGGAAACTCCAAATAAGTTTTACAGGTGCATTTATTAATAATCCATAGATAGCAGGATGAACTCACTAAATAGATTAATTGAAGACAAACTTCAACATGCTTTGTAATTCATAAATCTGATCTTAGAACAGTTGGAAAAGGGTTTTACAACTCCCACTAATTGGCATGGAAGTTTGGAAGGACTGAATGAAAAATTCACTGTGAATTTTAGTTTTAAAAAGCATTGTTTGGACAAGCATAAAGAAAAAGCCTAAATATTTTTTGAAAAGGATTAAGCTCGTACCTGATCCTGCAAACTAAACCAGCAACAGTTCACATGTTCATAGTGACCACGAAATGTCAGGGATGTTTTACCTGACCACATATCGAATGCCTGGAAAAATCCGGAAGTCAAACTTTGAAGAAAGAAGAAATCGGTGTATTTTAATTTAAAATATTCAAACCTACAAAACAAATGCATTACCTTCACAGCTGTCATGCATGGTACAAAAACAAGAGCCAAATTCTGACTTGTGGCTAACTGTATGGGCTTGCTGGTTTGCAGACGCACAGTTTCAAAGTTCACCAAAGTATTGCAGCCAGATTCTACATCCCACAACCTTAATCTTGAATCAGAACCTGAAATTCAAAAGCTTGATCAATGATATAGGCATTGTTATACTGATTTTTCTGTTGTAATTTACACCGTATCAATTGATTAACAAAACATCTAAACAGGAGAAAAGGAAGAACCCAATCACACTACACTGATTTATGCACGACAGGAATGATCCAAACATTTAAAAGAAAACAAAGGTCAGAACCCCAAGGCATACATTTAAAATGCAATAATTCCATGAAAATTTCATCACCTAACCAGATTCAAGTACATTTGTTATTTGTAATAATTTTTAAGGTTGCAACTGTGGCTTGGCAGTCACCTGCAATATTATTGTAGTATTTACATTATATTTAAAACAGTAAAGAATGAACCTAAACCACTATAGTTATTCTAAAATTAATTCCATTAAAGTGATTGGAATATAGGTAGCCAAATTCAGTGGATTCAATCTTAAGTATAACAAAATTCCAAAACTAAAACAACTCAACCTGCACTTAAGAGATACATGCCGTCTTCAGTAACTTTTAGCCCAGTAACAGCACCATAATGAGCAGTCGCACGATCCTGACTAGACAACATCCCTGGATGTAATCTTTGCTTCAGAGATCCCTTTACTGGAATTTTACCGACAGGTGATTGCTTTGCATTCATGTGTTTCGTTTGTGGTGTCCGTGCTTTTGCAAATGAACTTTGACTTGCTGACAAGGACTTAGCTGTTGAACCCTGAGTGGGACACAAAACCAAATATTATCAGTAGAAGGGCAACTGTTGACAAATTTAACTTTCTAAAGTTAAATTTGCACTCTCTCTCACTAATTACAAGCTTCAATTACAGACATCAACAATAATGTAATGACATTAAAAAAGGAAAAACATAAAGGAATTCAGGACTTATGCAAGAAAAAGAATCACACAAATATACACGCTGTAGTCGATAGTGTATATCTCATCATATTTTTAGTTGATCCATGAGAACACCAACACATTTAGCTGTGTTCATATTGAATAAAATGGAGAAAAATAACGTAGATGGAATATAAAAAAAGTACATAAAAACTGCATACAATGCCAAATGGTACATGCTCCATTAAGCCACCAAGGTAACAAAGAGGAAATAGAATTCCCGAAAGACACATGTAGAATCATTTCAGATAGTTAGTGGTATATGCTAAGTATAACTGTAAAAGAAACACAATAAACATAAAAGTTCACAAAGTAAGTGAGTGATATGTTGAAAACATATGCTTTGGTGCAGCAAAGAAAAGAAGAAAACCTTAATCGTGGCAGAGCGTTTCAAGATGGGTGGACGTCTCCCAAGCTGAGACTGGGACTGATCTAAAACAAGAAAACATCCAGCACGTCTAATGTCCCAAAAACGTATTGCACCGTCACATCCACCTGTAACCAAAACCCACTCACTAGAAGTAGACCATTCCACCGTCATTACACCATCTGCCATCATGAAAAGAAATATACACTTATGACCCTCTAAATGCACGAAACTTTTCTTCTAGGCTATAAGTTAAACCAAATTAAGGAAAGTAAAAACAATTATACCTTTGTACATACAAAGTAGAGAACCCAAAAGAAGAATGTCAATTTAACAAGAGTTGAAACCTAGCTTTAAGATACTATGGCTCAAGAACTGTAATTTATGCTGAGCTCCTAGAACTGCATTCTACGAACTCACCAACATGATGTATTCTAGATTGCTTGCTGCCCCTTCCACATGTCAGACCAGCCTACTATACAGGGCAGCACTATAAGCAGGGTTCACCCAAATATATATATATTGGAAAACCAAGTACTCAAAATCATCAAAAGAAGCGTGTTGTGATCGTCCAGCCAAACTATAGAAAACCCTTACATTTTGCCAATTTCTCAGACCATTTTGCAAATGCTTATGTGTTGACACAAGATATGAAGTTGGAATTTTGAAAACACTGATTCAGCAGAAGAAAAGGAAAGAAAAACTAAAAACAAAAAGTAGATGAATTGTGTGTATTAAGCACATACCACGGTGACCAGACAAGGTGTGAGCAAAAGCTCCAGAGGCAATATCACAGAGACGAACTTGAACATCTTCAGTCCCAGCAGCAATGAGCATGTGCGAAGTTGCCAAGGGGGACATGGCAGTCCTATAAACCTTTCCAGGCATTTTAAAGTCCATCACCACCTGCGTCGTATTCGTATCCCAAACATTAATGTGATGGTCATACGAACCCGTAACAAATAGTCCCGTGTCCACCGGATACCATATGGCCGAGGACACCGCATACTTGTGCCCCTGCTCGTGCTGCTTATCCACCATGAACAAGCACTTGTGCTTTCTGATAACGCCGCCTCCTTCATAATCAGTCCCGCGCTGAATATCAAACACCGCCGCTGAAGCATCCGAAGCACCGGATAACAAGTACCGGCCCTCAGTCAAATCAACCTGAGCAACAAGACGCTTCATTTTCATTGCTATGTCGATTTATGCAAGCAAAATGCGATCGATGGTAGAAGAAAGGGAGTGTTTGGGTACCTGGAGAGAGTTGACGGAGCCTCGGTGAGGGGAGACGATGTCTTTGCGGTTCGACAGTTGGAGCGTTTGGATCCGATTTGACTTAATCCGATTCGAGAACGAATTTGGGCGAAGCTTGCCCGCTTCTCTGTCTCCGATTTCCCGCCACATTTTCGGAGCATCTTCTTCAACCCAAAGCAAAGCTAAACTTGCACACTTCTCACTCCCAAAATTCCCAGACAGAAACTAGACAGATTTCTCTCTCTCTCTCTCTCTCTCTCTCTCTCAATCTTTGCCTGATTTTCCTACTGATCGACTCGGACGGACTCGGATAGATTACTGAGCGGGTTCGGGTTCGGGTTGCGTCAAAATCATATCCACAATCTACAAGACTACAACTCAAGTTTATGGACATTGGACATGGATTTCTCTGTGAGGGATAAGCAAAAGATCTGCCCTTGTTAATTCATCAAGAATTCTATAGTGAGGGGCACTGTTTTTTAACCATTAGATTAAATTGGTTAGCCGTTCAATCAATTAAATTAAGGGGGTTTCATTAAAACACCCAAAATAGGAGTTGAAATTATAAAAAAACCCAAATACTATTTAAACATATAAACACATCCAAAACTCATCATTACACACACTCAAAATCCATTTATAAACACACCCAAAAAGTTGATTTTAGAGTTAATTTTGGATGTGTTTTTATGTTTAAATAGTGCTCGAATTTTTTTATAAATACATGTTTAGGATTAAATTTATTTATAAATTTGTATTAAAGTAATCTAATTTAACGATTAAAAATAAAACACCACCTAAGAGTCATATATTACATCATCACGATAGAATGACTCATTAAATCATACAGGGATAAGAAAAAGCAAGAATTGTAAGAAATCTCTGATAATGGGTTGGACCGTCATATGACATTGGTTTGGCCCAATATGACTGTATTGTGGACTGAGGCCTAACATGACTTTACCCAGTCCAGAAGAAACACGGCGTGGCATGAAAACCAGCATTAATACTAATTAATATTCACTAACCATGCATGCATGCAGACTCATAAAGACAATTAATATGACCACGCTTACGGCCATGATCAGAGGTAAAAATCAAATATTTAAGCAAACGAGGAGGAGCGGGTAGGAGGAGGACAAATCACAAGTAGTAGGGCAAAAGCAAATATTTAAGCAAAGGAAGAGGAACAGGAAGGAGGAGGACAAGTCACAAGTAGCAGGGCATTGTAGTGGATCGGAAATTGGAAGAGTCAAGAAGGATGGAAACCTGGCTGATGGGAATAGTTACAGGCGTGTTCGTGTTTCTGGTGTTGTTGGCCTTTACGATTATGTTTATACGTTATATCTTGCCAAGAATTCATAACTAAATGAGGGGCTTTATACTCTTGTAATAAATTGATTATTTGACACTACTTTATATTTATATATCACCTACATACAGTTCTTCAAAAGATTTGTTTCGATTCACATTTTTTTTCCTTTTTTTACCGGTAATTTTAGCGTTAGCATTGTGTTACATTCCACTTATGTTATAAGACCACTAGTGCTTTTGTTAATGAAGCAGATAATGCGTGCCAGGGGAGGAGGTTAGAGTTTTTTATTTTTATTTTTTGAAGTCAACTATTACTTACTTTTATTTTATTTTTCTTAAATCAAAAATTAAAACTGGTTGTTGTATATTTAGTAAGCAATAATTGAAGGCATCAGCCAAATTGTGAAATTGTGAGACTCTGAGAGTGAGAATATGAATATGAATTGGGAAGGACGTGAGGAGGTGGAAGTGGGACTCCCCGAAGAAAAGCTGCAAAGCAAAGGGGAGAACTGGGAAGGGGGACACTCTCTGCTCATTGTGTCAGAAGCCCATTTGCAGAAAAGTTGCAAAACGACACCAAAACCATCACTGCACTCTGCTCCCTCCTCATGGATCTCTCAGACTACTAGAATCTCTGGTGACAAATGAGAGAAAAAAAGGTAGGCCCATCACGTGGGGTTTTTCTATTTTACATTTAAAAAATAAAGAAAGAAAGTAATTTCTTGTAATTTTACAGTGTGAAGATTTGGAGTGACTATAGCGTGACATCGTAATAATACAGCTATGTGGTATGACTTGTCTTGGTGTTATAATTGACCCAAAAATATCAACTTTCTCGTTCACCCATATAATAATTTCTCAAAGAGTTGGTCTGTGTTTTGGTGTTTGCTAATAATGCGATAATAAAGCAAGAATAAGATGCGCCATTCTCATTGCATGGTGTGTTTTATCTTTGGAATAATAGACCATTGGAGCATTGGGGTCTGTTTAATTTGTTCTTCTTGAGCAACGTGCCTGTGCGATGCCGGAGAAGGCAAAATATAGATTTTTTAAACCTCAAAAGAAAAAGACTTAAAAAAGGCTATCTATATCTATGTGATGGTACCATGATGTCCTACTTTTGCTTAATATTTCAAACTTCCAGTAACTTTTAACCTCCAAAAAAAGAAATCTGAATAAACAAATGCAGAGGCCTTGAACATGATATCATGTTAGCTGAATAAACAAATGAAGAGGCTAACCAGCAAGCCAAGTCAGCAACCCATAACCACAACACATGCTCTAGCAGATGTCAAAACACAACCAAGCCAATCCAGCTATTTTGAATTCAAAATGCTGCTACTTTTTTCTTGGATTTGTAGTGGTATGGGCACCTTTGTCTCTTCAGCCAATGTGGCCCCTTTTATACAAGCAAAGACTTTGCTTACAATTATATCTTGTGTCCATACAAGGAAGGAGATTATTTCTGAAGCAACAGCTATTCTCTACTTTCTTTTTCTGCCATATATTTCAAAATCCACCACAAAATTTTCTTTTCCCACCCAATTGTTATATTATGTTATTCAAAGAATATCACTTGATTAGCTAATTTATAGTTTACCATAATATTTTTAGACTGCAAATGCTAACACAAACACTAATTAGCCTATCCCACTAGCAAATGCCTGAGGCCTGCAAGTCTGCAACAACTTTTGCCTAGGCAGGCAAAGCTTTCTGTACCAAGCAAAGTCAGCTGATAGAAAAAGACCAAAACATCAAATATCAGATCATTGAATCCAGCTTATTATATTTGTTTTTCTTTCCATCGTCACCCACTCGGCATTGGGTTTATTGAACCTGAGAAAACGAAAAGATTCCAAATTCTGAAAAACCAGAAAACCGAGACTTGAACTGAGAGGTAGCTTTCAAGCTTTCGACAACTGCTACAGATCACGTTTTGGATTGCGTTTTTCTTTCTGTCTGGGTAGGTTAAAAAAACTTTGTTATCTTTGTTTGTCTTGCCCTTTTCAACTTCCTCGACCTGATTGTCTTCTGCTTATTTCTCTATTTCAAAGACTCAGTCTTTTGCCTCCAAATATGTCCCCATAGAGTGTCTTTTTCTGTTTTTGTTTGTTATTATAATACTTTGATTTTGCTGGGTTTTGTTGTTCGGTAAGGCCTATGCTGCTTTGGGGATCTACATTGTTTCTTTGTGTTTTATGACCATTGTTTAATCCGTACAACTCATTACGTATTTCCGTTGTTGCTTGCGTTGATTTTGTTTCTTCAATAATAGCAGCAAACTGGATGTTGGGTTAATGATAATGACATGTTTGTACAACTCATTTCTAGGCGGACATACGTGAAACAAATCACAAAGAAGTGATTTTGTTGCCTCAGATTTTCTGGGTGAAATCACCAATATCCAAGTTCATCTTTGGACAAGATGCTGTGTGCTTGTTCTGGAGAGCAATTCAAATTCGAAGAGCCAGAGCCACCTCACTCGCCGGAGTCACTTGCCACGAGGGACTTTTCGGCCAGTGGTCTTTCGTCGAGGACCGGAGACTGGGAGTCAAAATTTGAAGACATCCAAGTAGATGAAGCTGAATCCACTCTAAAAGAAGCTCTATCTTTGAACTATGAGGTGGGTCTTCTTGTTTTATGAAGTAAAATTTGATTACATGAAACTAGCTTGTTCATACAATTGGCCTCTTCGTTCTACAAAATTTTGATATTTCCCTTCTGAATGAGCTTCAGGAAGCCAGGGCCTTGCTGGGGAGGCTTGAATTCCAAAGAGGGAATTTTGATGCTGCCCTTCAGGTGTTTCAAGGTATTGACATTAGAAGTTTAACTCCAAGGATGGCCAAGGCCATTGTTGAGAGAATTAGGCAGAAAAAACCACGTCCTAAAGGCGATCATGTGCTTCCCAGTGTCATGTCTATGCACTCTGTGAGCCTACTTATTGAAGCTATATTGCTTAAGGCAAGATCACTGGGGGAACTTGGAAGATTTATAGGTATTGCATACTCTTTCATGGTTGCTTATGTGTTCTTTTAATAATTGATGGGAAGTTTTTTTTTTCCCCCTTCTTTGGAGCATAATTCAGCTTTTGATTGAGATTGGCATATTGATTTCTTTTGATTTGTATTGATTAGTTTGGAAGTTCTCATACTTTCTTATTCATCAGAGGCTGCAAAGGAGTGCAAAGTTATTCTTGATACAGTTGAGTCGGCACTACCTAATGGAATGCTTGATGACATCTGTGAGGACTGCAAATTGCAGGACATGTTTCACAGAGCACTGGAGTTGCTCCCCAGTTTATGGACAAAGGCAGGCTATCTTGACGAAGCTATTACTGCATATCGCCGGGCTCTAGTCAAGCCATGGAATTTGGAACCTAAGAGGCTGGCTGATGTTCAGAAAAACTTAGCTTGCACGTTACTCTATGGTGGTGTTGAAGCAAGCCTTCCTCCTCAGTTACAAATATGGGGCACAACTATGCCCAAAAATAATACAGAAGAAGCAATTTTGTTGTTGTTAATACTTATGAAAAAGGTGGCATTGCGCGAGATAAAGTGGGATCCAGAAATTATGGATCATCTGACTTATGCACTTTCTGTTACCGGATTGTTTGAATTATTAGCAAATCATGTGGAGCAAGCACTTCCGGGATTATATAGACGAGCTGAGAGATGGTACTTTCTTGCTCTTTGTTATAGTGCCTGTGGACAAAATGAAGTAGCTTTGAACCTTTTGAAAAAGGTTGCAGGCTGTTCCGAAGCAAAGAACAAGCCCCACTTCCCCTCTTTTCTCTTGGGAGCAAAATTGTGTTCCCAAGATCCAACTCATGCTCGTGAAGGGATTGCATTTTCGCGTAAAGCCATTGACTTGGTAAATTATCAATGTGAGCATTTCATGGGTCAAGTTCATAAATTTCTTGGTGTTTGCTATGGCGGTGCAGCAAGAGCTTCTGTATTGGATTCTGAAAGAATGTTTTTTCAAAAGGAGTCTCTGAACTCTCTAAACCATGCTGTTCGTAATAAGGAGGAGGATCCTGAGGTCATGTTTAGTCTTGGCCTGGAAAATGCAGTGCAGAGGAATCTGGATGCAGCTTTCAATAATGCAATGAAGTACTCCGATATGATGGCTGGCAGCTCAGGACAAGGTTGGAAGTTATTAGCCCTTGTAGTTTCTGCAGAGCAGCGCTTCAAGGACGCTGAAACCATAGTTGATTTTGCTTTGGACGAAGCTGGAAGAGTGGATCAGTTAGAACTGCTCAGATTGAAGGCTGTGCTACAAGTTGCTCAGGAAAATCCCAAGCAAGCAATAGAAACCTATAGAATATTGCTAACTCTTGTTCAAGCACAGAGGGATCTACAAGCTAAAAACTCTGAGCGAGAGCCACCCTTCCATTCTGAGGTTTGCATTCCTTAACGAGTAAAATCACTTTTTGAAGTCACTATGTTTTTGCCCTTTCTCTGTTAAACCTTTTATTCTTTCCTCTGCAGGCATTTGTGGAAAGTAATTTGGAGAAGGAAGCCTGGCGGGACTTGGCAACCATTTATACCAAACTTGGTTTGTGGACTGATGCAGAAATATGTGTCAACAAAGCCAAGTTGATTGAATTTTATTCTGCCCATAGTTGGCATACCACAGGTAGGATTTTCCCTCCATTTTATTGTCATTCAAATGTCAAGATACGATAAATCGTGTACGAGCATGAGAAACAAATGCTTGCGAACTTATATTGCTTATATTACTTCAATTCATATCCATTCATCTAATGCTCCTTACACATTTGCAGGTGTGTTGTTTGAAGCTCAATCACAATACAGGGAAGCCCTAATTTCATTCTCAGTCTCATTGTCAATAGAGCCAGATTATGTTCCAAGCATTGTTTCTACTGCAGAAGTATTGATGAAACTTGGTAGCCAATCGCTCCTAATAGCTAGAAGCTTTTTAATGAATGCGCTAAGATTAGAACCGACGAACCACGAGGCATGGTTGAACCTGGGATTGATTTCGAAAAGGGAAGGCTCCTTACAACAAGCAGCAGACTTTTTTCAAGCTGCACATGAGCTTCAGCTGTCAGCTCCAGTTAAAAGTTTTGTGTAATAATTTTGTGGCTTCCCAATTATTCTCAAGCATACAACTTAGAGAATAATAGACTTTGTACGTATAGGAGGATGGTTATTGCTTGTTCCACTGATAAATTGTAGTCGAAATTATGTCACTAGATGGAGCAATTACATAAACGAAACTAAAATTTGTTGCACAGAGAAATGAACGGCCAGATTTCATTATTAGAAGATGCACCAAAGCAAGAATTTTGCAATTGTTATTGTTCTCCTGACATTCCATATACACAATAAATGACACAGTGAATGTTGATTGGTAAACTAAGTTTGCTTTGGAGATCTAGAGTATTTGTTCTGGGCAGAAGAGGAATTGGCAGTCCAAACATGGTTGTATCTGTATAAACACTGCAGAGAAAACAAACGTAAATTGTGAGAACAACAAAAACAAAAATGTCGAAACTGTTTATAAGAAAGAAAGAAAAAACTGTTGCTGCACGACTGCTGGTGTGAACTTCTTGAATGTGATAGCTGTAACACTATCTTCCTTGCTTAATAAATTCTTAGACAAAAAGAAACTCCTGTCTATCAGAATTAATATTCACCCTGTTACATAGACGTTCTTTACCACTTTATCTTTTCTAAAGTCTCATATATCAAAGATAATACGCCCAAAACGGACGGACTTATAGCCTACAATGATGTGTGTCATACAAAACTTATTTTCACCCATAAGTTGAAACCATCACAGGATGATAATTCACAGAAAACTTATTTTACAGGGTATATCCCGTTCATAGACTTACAATTGGAAGTTGTTGGAGAGACGAAAGCTCCGCCTCAACCCATCGACCACTGCATCCACAACACGAACAAATAGTCAAACATATGAACTATCTGATTTCAACAAACATGCACATCACACTTTGGTATCAAGAGTGCAAAGGTCGCAAAAAAATTTGAAACCCAGCACATCATAAGAATAAGATACATCATAGAATGACATCATAGGTCATATTTTCTCAGCATCATATAAAATTAGCATAAAAGCAACAGAGATTGGCATTTAAACCACTAAAACCTACAGGACAGTCCTATGATATTATTGAAGATGTTGACAGTGTAGCTCAGATACATCAGCATCAATTTTCCAACAAAAAACTTGGACATTCAGTACTCAAACCTTTAATACTGGTTCGCCTTTGTTAGCGCTGGCAGCTTGCTTTGCAGCCGCCTGTTGCTGTGCACGCGCAGCTCTTCCTGCTGCAGACTTTTCGAATTCTTCTTGCCTGCAATTGTGGTTGCATTATATTAGTTCATTCAAATAATTAAGAAACCATTATGTGGGTACATAAGCCATATAATGCTAGCACACACACGTTTTAATTTTATTATTATTACAATCAAAGCCAAATCCTGCAGGCAGAAATATCCTACGGCGTTGAAAATTGCTTAAATACAGAGGCAGTTTTATGTGTTTACAAAAATTTAAATCCGTTTCATAAACCATTTTTATTTGTTTCCTTTTTCCGTCATCACTTTCATCTAATTTTTCCCTATCCATGATGAAATTAAACGAAAAACATGTACTTTATGAAAGGAAAATTATTGATCGATCCAAAAATAATATCTTTACATAAGTTTGGTTGCAACTAGATGTCAATTGACGCTGCCCAAACGAATTCAGATATCCAAATTTCGCAAATGAAAACGATCGATTGAGAAAATCTATATATACCTTCTCTGGGCGGCTTCGGCAGCTTTGGCAAGAGCTTCCGCGGAGGCTATTCTGTCTTCTTCTTTTCTCTGCGCGTTGTTGCCTCCATCGAAACAACACAGCAGCCCCATCTCCCTCTTCTCAATCTGTGAGTTTTGCTTCGATTGACTTCTTATACAGTTTCTTTTTTGGTAATGACACGTTGCGATGTCCGGATCGATTGCCGCGTGCCACGTCATAAAGTGAGAACATCTTGTCATCTTGCCAGCCTTGCCAAACGACGTCGTGGCATATCTTTGATAGATTAAATTAGCTAAACGCGGCGTTTCATTGGTTTTGCCTTCTTCTTGAGTGACTCTGTGGAAGCTATTGGCTCCTCCTGAAACCTAATTTGCAGAGATGACGAACAAACCGTTGGATTCACTACCTCCTACTGAAACCCTAGAGATAGAGAATGGATTGTCGCTGGTGCCACGCGTTAGGCTCAATCTCACAGTGTACTCGTCGAGCCAAGTTGTGACCAAACCCATCGATGAGTGGAAGATGAAGCAGACGCTCATAGACTTCCTAAAGAACTCGCTTTCTGTCCCCATCACCGTCCCTGAAGATGACCTCCAGATCAGACGGCTCAAGGACCTCAAGAAGCGTAAGCGCGACGACCCTGTAGCTTTCGGTACCTTGTTCATTCGCGACCTGGGGTTTCTGAACACGACCAGTAAGAGAAACGATGGTGAGGAAGAAGAAAAGGACGTAAAGGAGTTGGAGAAGAAGTTCCTGGACTGGAGAAAGTACATTGTTGAGAAAATGGATGGGATTGAGCTCAATATCGAAGGGGTCAAGTACAAGCTAAACGTCGAAGTTCCGGAGTCTGATAATTTTGAGGCCATGAAGAAAGCTTGGGAGGAGTTTTACGCTTTTGGAAGTCGGGGTTTGTAATGATTTTTATTGGCTCAGAGCCTCAGGTTGAGCTTTGAATTTCGATGGAGTTCAATTGAAGTGAATTTGGTTCGATAAAGTTTGGTTCCTTTTGCAGGGCTTTCGACGAGAGGGAGGCAAGAGCCTGATACCATAATACTGAGGGGTGCTCCGTCACGCTGGTTTGCAGAGCCCCGGGTTTCTTCGAAGCCTTCAATGCTGGTTACCCATACCATCTTTTCTACATTTGGGAAGATAAGGCATGCCAACGTCTTTGTTCTCCAACTCTATTTCTTATTGTTTTATAGAAATCCTGATGTGTTTGAATTCTATGTAATTTTTGAACACTAGCTTTTCATCAACTGTACTTTAGTTCTAAACGTTTGCCTAAACACTAATGTTTTGATTGAGCTTAAAAAGGTACTTAACAAAAGAAAAAGAACAGCAAACATGCGAAGCTATATTGCAATCTTCAACTTTTTTCTCGTTGTCTTTGTTATTAGCTCATGTGTGTATCCTCACTAGCATCCATGGCGTAATGGCCTTAGCTAATCATTATCATTCCTGTTGCTGCCCCTTTTTAATTACAATCCTTAGGAATCTTAATGTTGCTGAGGACGATGGTCTAGGTAAGGACGCGAACGAAGATGGTGGGGACTTAATTTCAGGTCTCCATTGTAAGATTGTGGTTCAGTTCGAGAAATACCAGGACTTCTACAATACTTTCAAGGTGTTATGTGGCCGCTCATTCCAGAAGGTAAGCAGTTGTTTTTCTCGTTATACAGTTTTTATAATTTTGTTAGGAGTGATATAAGATATAATGAGTGTTGTCAATCAAACTTGTCAAAATGCTAGATTTCAAGCATTGAGATATGATGCTAAAAGAACCTGTAGTGGAATTTATGTTTGGACTTATTAATCCGCTTTTTTTGTGTGTTTCTTGGTGGTAATTTTTTATATTTTTTTGGTCAAGTTTCTTGGTGGTAACTAAACGTTCCTTTCTGTGGAGCAGCAAGGATCTCAATTGAGGGCTGATTATGAGGTTACGTGGGACAAGGATGGATTTTTCCGATTCTCAAGAAATCAACCGCATGAAAATAGTAGCAGGATACGGGAAATAGTAACAACACAGCACAGAAGTGAAGCTCCAAGGCATCGGCAACACATCTCTCAATTCAGTTCCAACCAAGCTCCTCGCAAGAGGTTTAAGGTTAGAAACTAATTGCGAAAATAACCAAGTAAAACCATTGGGCGGTCGAACAGGCTTTCAATGTTTCCCAGATGGGTCCAGCTATAATTGGTCCACTGGCCGAAACTCAAATCAACTAGCAAATCTTATGTTTATATGGTTACCATTTATTTACCAAAAAGGAAACTTCACCTTACTTCAAGCCTTTTTGGTGTTCTCTCCAATGGTGACATAAATGTTTCTGTTTGAATACAGGAATAGGGCAGTTGTTCTGAAAATTCCTTATGGAGCTGGGAGTTTGAAGTGTTAGAATATGGCATGAGTCAATGTATGACAGAAAAGAATAGTCTTCAACTCGCTTATTGGTTGGTGGACTTGATGCCTTGCACAACATCACAGCAGCACTTTATTTTTTAGGAGTTGTTAAATCGTACATTCAATTGGGGCATTTCAATCCTGAAAAAAGAAAGAAATGTTTGCTATTTGCTTCATCATCCTTTTTTTCCCCTAACGGTTTGTAATGCATCCTTGGTCGATTTGCATGGTAAGAAATTGAGTAGAGATACTCTGTTGGTCGATTTGCTTTGATTTGATTTGAATAGTAAAAGAGATTTGTAAGAACCCTATCAATATGAACTCTTATCGGCTTGCGTGTGTAACGAAAAATATGCAAGCATCTTGCTGCGGAGGGCACAATTGCTGCAGCTGAAACACTCTCACTAGTAACAAGGACTACCTTACTCTGTCTCACCTTGAAAGTGAGTTCATTCCGAATGAACAGTGACCTAATTTACAAAAGTGTTATATCATTAAAGAGGATTCATACTAACTTTCAATAATTTTTTAAGAATGCAAAAACATGATTATACTTCTATATCATAGTTTGGAAAAGAAAGTTCGATTCTTTGCACATATAAGTTACAGGGGAATGAACAGTGACCTAAATTACTAAATGGTATATCAGTAAAGAGGATTCACACTAACTTTCAATAATTTTTGAAGAATGCAAAATGGTATATCCTAATTTACGAAATTGATATTTCAATAAAGAGGATTCACAGCCTGAGTATACAGTTCTAAAATCAAAGAAAAGGGTACAGCCACAGAAACGCTTATATACACATAGGCACAATACCTGGTCGACATTGGGTGGTTCTTGAAGCAAGGTTTCAGAAGGAGGCGAGAGCTTCGGCAGCAGTCTCTCCAGAAGAAGGCAAAACCAAGAAAGGTGCCACAACGTCGTTTGGCAAGGTTGGGCAAAAGTCACAGATTGAGAAGAGAGAGAGGCAACAATGCTCAGAGAAAAGAAGAAAGAGAAGGCTGAAGCCGCCCAAAGTATATAGATTTTCTCAATCGATCGTTTTCATTTTGCAACCAAATTTATGTAAAGATTTGATTTTGGACTGGTTAATAATTATCCTTTGATAAATTTTATGTTTTCGTTTAAATTTAATAATGGAGAGGGAAAAAGGAAACAAATAAAAAGGGGCACAATTAATAAGTCGCTTAGGCTGAACAATAAGATTTATTTATTTATAACAATTGTATTAATTTTGCAAACACATACAACTGCCTATGTACTTAATCACAGCCTAAGTGCTAATATTATGATACTCCAATAAAAAAGATTTTTACAACGTCACAGGATTGTTTCTGCCTGCAGAATTTGGCTTTGATGTCTCCTTGCAAACACACTATTAATGTGTGAATTTTGACAAAAGGCGATTGCAGATCATAACCCCCAGCCAAAGGTCATATTTGCTCTTTGATAGTCAGGTAGCCCTCATGGTCTCGACTCTCAATATATACCAAGGATGGAGTGTGAATCAATAGTTACTTTACTTCTGTACTCACATAATGGTTTCTTAATTATTTGAATTCTTATATACTACACCACAATTGCAGGCAAGAAGACTACCTACTGCAATGGCATGTCTCAGTTCCTCCCAACTCATAACTCATTGGAAGGTAAGTTTTCACCTCTGCTTGTGGTTTTCAAGTTTTCCTTCATATAAATCTGTTTGTATTATCTGCAATGACAATTTTATCACCTTGGCATGCAGGAAAGTTGCTGTTGTCAATTTGGATCCTGCTAACGGTGCATTGCCGTATCCTATTCTTTAGTTTTACTTTTTTGTTCTTCATATTTTGCAGTTACATAGTTTAATTTCCTTGTAGTATGTCAAGCCTTTGCATAAATATAGCTATGAATGTGCTGTGAACACAGAGGATCTTAGAAAACTAAGTGATGTAGTGGTGGAGCACACTCTTGGTCCAAATGGAGCTGAGCTCGTACTAAGTTTTTAATGGATTTTGTGATCAACACACTTGAAAAGTATATGACCCCTTTTAGTTCTGCAACTTCTCTAGTTTCTTTTGTCATGTTCATCCAGGTCTTGTAATAAAAATTAAGTTTCAAATAACCTTAAGAGAATCTGACCAAAACTAACTTAAGCAGTAGTCTAAATTCAAACACCCAACTTGTGCTTCACTAAGCATGCCCCATCCCATAGGACCTACCAACAAACCTAATGGAAGTGGAAGTAGGTCATCATAACAATACGAGTTTTGCACTGCCAGGAACTTTGTCTCGAAGCTTTTCACCATTTATCGGCCCTTCTCTATGCAATAACAAGTTGCATAAGATTGGTTATTTTTTCATCATCAATCCAACTCCCACCTCCGTTATAGTATCTCCGGGAGGGGTTCAAGACCATTTGCTCAAGACCTTGCACATTTGGCAGCATGTAAATAGAAAGCTCGACTTCGAACCAATTACCTACCTACACATCCAGCTATTTCAACTTCTATAAATTGACCGACTCATGCAGACCTTCCATCCAAGGACCAAAGACAGTTTCTTTCAAGCTGACTCACTGTATTGGTCTTTACAAGTATGATTCTGTTGTTGAAAACGTTTATCCCATGCAATTGCAATGGGAGTTGAAGAGATTGCTATGCTCTCGTACCCATCAATGGGATGTGAAGATATTCTTGTGCTCTTGTACCCATCACTTATGAAGTTTGACAAATATAAGAGTAAGGTGATCAAGGGGAAGCTGCCCTACAAGTTTCCCTTTTGGTTTTTACCTATGGATGAAAATGCTTCAAACTCTTTGAAGCATTTACATCTGGATAGTTTTATTCTTAGACCATCTTCTCAGTTTTTTGCTGCATTCTACTGTTTGATAACCCTTCTACTGGAATATACATTGGTTGGTGAAGATTTTATGCATTCTTTACTATCCAATTCTCCATTCCTTGATTTCTTGCGCTTGGTGTTGAGAATAAAATGACTTGATTGTAGGGATTACATTTTCCTTATTTGTATTGGACTTCACATATTGTGGGTCAACCTCAATCATAGCCTCAATTACTTAATAGCCTAGAATAGCTTCCTAGAATAGTTCCTTGTATCACCCATATATGTATACATCCTGTACAAACGTTGATATTGAAGAAATATACAGAAACTTCATCACGTTATTGATTTTTATTATGGTATCAGAGCTCCTTTGTGGGTGGCTCTTGATTTTCATTTTTTTTTCATGTGTTGTTGAAGCTTTCAAGAGACTTTATTTCTCTTGCCTTCGATCACACTTTCATCATGGGAAAGGAAGAAGAATCAAACATCAACTCCACTTTTTTCTCCAATCAACAGGCACACCTCTTCAATTTGCTTTCTGCGCTCACACCAAATCAATGTCAACAACTTATAGCAGCTATATCCATGGTAAAATTACAACAATCAGATAATTGCAATGGATTTGCAAGTGCGGCAGGTCGGTTTTTTTGTGAGTTTCCATCAATTAATTCTGTATCTTCTCATACATGGATTTTGGATAGTGGTGCAACGGATCACATCACATCCGACTCTTCTCTTTTCACTCAAACACATAGTTCTTCCATGCCTTCAGTTCATTTACCCACTGGTTCCTCTTCTCCTATTTCTTCAGTTGGCTCAATACTCTTTGACAAAAATATCACTTTGGATAATGTTCTTTGTGTTCCTTCATTCCGCCTTAATTTGATGTTTGCCAGCAAATAACCAAATCCTCCAATTGTTGTGTCATTCTTTTTCCTGACTTTTGTGTGTTACAGGACTTGGCTACGGGAAGGACGATTGGCTTGGGTAAACAGCGAGGAGGCCTTTACTATATGTCGCTGCTAAACACAGCCTCGCTTTCTTGCCATGTTTCCCACACATCCAGCCTATGGCACCAGCGTCTTGGTCATCCCTCACCTGCTTGACTCAAATCACTTTTCAATGTGCTTCCTTCTGGTACTGTTTCTTTTGAGAATATTTGTGATATTTGTCCCATGGCGAAACAGACAAGATTACCTTTTCCGTTAAGTTCCATCTCTTCTAATGTGCCTTTTGCCTTGTTACATTGTGATATTTGGGGTCCCCACAAAATTAAATCTCATTCTGGGGCACGTTACTTTCTCACCATTGTTGATGATTACACTAGGTGCACTTGGCTATTTTTGATGACTCATAAATCCGAAACACAATCCCTCCTAAAATCATTTTTCACCTTTGTTCGTACTCAATTTCATACCACCATCAAAGTGATAAGGGCCAACAATTAATGGAACCGAATTTCTCTCATTGCGAGATTTTTTTCTTCATAATGGGGTTGAATTTCAACGTTCATGTGTTTACACTCCACAGCAAAATGGAGTAGTTGAACGCAAGCATCGTCACATTCTCAGTGTGGCTCGTGCTTTGCTCTTCCAAGCCAATTTGCCATTAATTTTTTGGGGGGAATGTGTTCTCACTGCCGTTTATCTTATGAATAGGCTACCCACTCCATTATTATCCAACAAATCACCCTATGAGAGACTGTACAATCGACCCCCCCACACTTGCTCACCTTAAGGTATTTGGGTGTCTTTGCTATGCCACTGTTGTTCAACCATTACAAAAATTTGATTCACGTGCCCGTCGTTGTATTTTTGTTGGCTATCCAACAGGTCAAAAGGGCTATAGGCTTTATGATTTGGCTACAAAACAATTTATTGTTAGCAGGGATGTCAAATTCCATGAACATATTTTTCCTTATTCATTTGCACCCCGAGATGACCATCAACAAAACTCACAAAGTGTTTTGCCCCTCTTTTTGCCTACTCCTCACACATATACAGGCACTCCAGACCCTCATATAGTCCCCATTATTTCCTCACCTTCCGCTGATATACCACATCCTTCATCTCAAGAGTCACCAACACCAATATCTCTACCTCCTTTGTCCCATGATGCCACCCAAGAGGTCCCCACCCAACCTTCCACTACTTTTCCTCCCTCTCTCAATGAATCGACCATCACTGCCTCTCCAGATGACAATACTTCGGACCCCACCTCATCACCTCTTCCTATCCCTACTAATCCCAGACAGTCTACTCGACTCCGCCAACCACCATCGTGGCATAAAGACTACCACATGTCCAACACTATGTTTACCCAAGTGCAATTATCTGACTCTACGCCAACTCCTGTTAAAGGTACAAAATATCCATTATCCAATTTTCTTTCATATTCGAAATTGTCTACACCACACCGTGCTTTTTTAGCTGCTGTTTCAGGTCATAGAGAGCCCACCTCATATGCCCAGGCTGCTCAGGATCCTCTTTGGCAGCAAGCAATGAAAGTTGAATTAGATGCCTTGCAACACAACAAAACTTGGAGTCTTGTTCCCTTGCCTGCCGGTCAGAAACCCATTGGATGTAAATGGGTTTACAAATTAAGTATCACTCTGATGGGACCATCGAAAGATACAAAGCTCGCCTTGTTGCGAAAGGGTACACTCAAGTGGCTGGCGTTGACTATTTTGAGACCTTCTTACCCACTGCTAAACTTACCACTGTCCGCTGCCTCTTATCCGTAGCAGCCTCTCGCAATTGGTTTATTCATCAACTTGATGTTCAAAACGCCTTTCTTCATGGCGATTTGGAGGAAGAGGTGTACATGGTTCCTCCTCCTGGACTTTGCCGACAGGGGGAGAACTTAGTGTGTCGGCTCAACAAATCTTTGTACGGTTTGAAACAAGCCTCTCGACAATGGTTTTCTAAATTTTCAAGTGCAATACAAAAGGCTGGGTTTCACCAATCACAAGCAGACTATTCTCTTTTTACAAAGGTTCATGGTAATTCCTTCACTGTAGTTCTGATTTATGTGGATGACATAATTCTTACAGGCAATGATCCACAAGAGATGCAACTTCTGAAAGCATTTCTACTCAAGCATTTCCGTATCAAAGATCTTGGTGACTTAAAATATTTTCTGGGCATAGAAGTGTCAAGATCACAAAGGGCATTTTTATTTCACAACGGAAATATGCACTCGATGTTATACAGGATGCAGGTCTTTTAGGGGCACGCCCTGATAAATTCCCAATGGAGCAACACTTGAAACTCACTCCCACAAATGGTGATTTATTAGATGATCCCACACGGTATAGGAGATTAGTGGGCAGATTAATCTACCTTACTGTGACGAGACCAGATATTCTATACTCAGTACAGACCTTGAGTCAATTCATGCACCAGCCAAGAAAACCTCACTTAGAAGCAGCTTTTTGTGTTATGAAGTTCATTAAAGGCACTCCAGGTCAGGGATTATTTTTCCCAACTAATAATAATCTCACATTGAAGGCTTTTTGTGACTCGGATTGGGCAAGTTGTCCTACCACAAGAAAATCAATTTCCGGCTACTGTGTCTTCCTTGGAGACTCTCTTATTTCTTGGAAATCAAAGAAGCAATCAAATGTTGCTCGTTCGTCTGCAGAAGCCGAATATCGAGCCATGGCAGCCACTTGTTTGGAATTAACTGGTTGCGTTATATATTGCAAGATTTGGGGGTAAAACAAGATAAGCCAATTCCGTTACATTGTGACAATCAAGTTGCTCTCCATATAGCTGCAAATCCCGTTTTCCACGAACGCACGAAGCATATTGAAATAGATTGCCACATAGTGCGAGAAAAATTGTTGTCTGGTATGATATCCACCTTTTACGTCCCTTCTCACCTACAATTAGCAGATATATTTACCAAAGCTTTGGGAAGGGAACTTTTAGTTCGTTGAGCAGCAAGTTGGGACTTCACAACATTCACTCTCCAACTTGAGGGGGAGTGTTGAGAATAAAATGACTTGATTGTAGGGATTACATTTTCCTTATTTGTATTGGACTTCACATATTGTGGGTCAACCTCAATCATAGCCTCAATTACTTAATAGCCTAGAATAGCTTCCTAGAATAGTTCCTTGTATCACCCATATATGTATACATCCTGCACAAACGTTGATATTGAAGAAATATACAGAAACTTCATCACGTTATTGATTTTTATTGCTTGGGAAGGTGCACATTGCCATATATCCCCTTCGTCGTCTGGAGATGATTGACTGTTTGAATGAATGGGATGTTACGATTTCTGCCCTGAAACTCACTGTTGTTGAACATCGCGGCCATCTCAAATTCAATGATGTCTTGCCTCTTAATGCTCCTCAGTTGACAAAGATATTATTCCCCTCATGGAAAGAGCACCTGATATACCTCCTTTAATTTCACACTTAACTGGTTTTGCTCAGCTTAAAAATCTCACCCTGCACATGTTTCATGGACAGGCAAGCTATATAACTAAATATTAATTACTATATAGAATGTAATTAACCTCAGCTCATACATCTTTCTTATGTTGTGTCTGAATCTGCAGATGCCAAAATTGATGGAAAAAATAGCGCCACTTGGGAATCTTAAGCAATTGGAGTCGGGCTTAGATGTACGTCATGAATATTTTGGATACTCAGATCTGTTGTGGGTTGTCCTCTTTCTGAGGCTTATCCTCTTTTGCATAAACTCACATATAGGTTGAGTCTGCATATTTAAACATAAATCTTGGGTCTAATTATTGTATGCATGGGCAAATTGGTAACTTAAAAAGATTTTAGGCCTCCCCACCCATTGGCAAATTGGTTTGAGTTTAATTTCATTGGTTTTGATTGTGAAACTGATTCTTAAGCATTTTGCTTATTGTAGCGTGCGGTATACGCTGAAAGTCACCCTGAAAATAAAAGTGAAAGATGGCAACCGGAGGAGTTCACTCATAATCACCTTAAAGAAGTTGAAATAGGTGGATGTAAAGGTAATTGGTACGAAGTTGAGTTTGCTGTTTACTTGCTGGAAAGTGTGCAGTCTTGAGCGATTGGTTATGAACCCTTCTTTTAGGTACGTACTATAAGGGAGGTCGGAGATGGAATGATGCTCATGCTGAAACTAGGCGTCTCAGTGTACCCTGTCTTTGGCTATGGAGCTGCTCAAACGGAGGCCGGGAAATATTTATTAAAAGGTTATATGCAAAATAAGCACAAGTTGTGTGTGTGAGATTTGTTGGCACAATTGGTTTTCCTTGTCGTCGCAAAAACTCGTATTGAATTTGTTATGACCCACTTCCACTTCCACTAGGTTAGTTGGTTGTACCATGTGCATGAGCATCTACAATGGATTCCCTAAACCACTTCCTTAGATTAAATATAGGGAGGAAGTGAGAAAATCCACCTCCAACCATACTCCTTATCCAACTCCTAAAATATGGAGACCTCTAGGAGCTCCTAAATCTGAGGAGAGAGAAATGACTTCTAGTGGCTCCCTATAATTAAATGTTGCTTTACTTTAATGTTATTTTAAGTATTTATTTAAAAAAAAATTATATAAAGATGGAGCATTTATGCTAAACTTAACAAAGAAATAAATCATTTATGATTCCCTAAATTAAAGAGTATGGCTGGAGTTGAAATTTTATAAGGAGCTCTTAAAATAATTTTATAGTGTTTTTAGCTAGATTTTAACTCAAAAATAAGGAGCATGATTGTTGATGCTTAGTGAAACACAAGTTCGATGTTTGAGTTTAGAGGACAGTTGCTTAAGTTTGTTTAGTCAGATTCTCCTAAGTTTATTTGATGCTTAGTTATTTTTATTACAACATTGTATTATGGAGTTAAACTAATTTATGGTATTATTATTATTGTTACAGCTGCTTTTATTTTTATTTGGGCTTGTCCAATATAGACCCCTAAATTTTCTATTTCCTAGACATATACTCATCACTCTATAATCTTTGGGTAAAACCCAATTTCAAATTTAAATAACCAGTAGGATATAAGAGGTCGTAGTATTTCTATGTTTTACATCGTTGCCACTAAACTTCATATTTTATTTATAAATTTTATTTCAAGCATTTCATTAACTGCCATAATTGTAATTAATATACTCCCTATTAATAGCATATCAATCACCCCATTTCTTTTAGTTGTCATTCCCTCTCACATCTCGCCCACTAAAATTGCAAACAAAAAAAAATCTGTAAATTACATATCCAATAATGTACCTATGAAAAATATAATATAAATATATACATATAAAATATAGGTATATTATAAAAAAAAAAAAAAAAAAAAAAAAAAAAAAAAAACAAAGTTACATTGTAATTGCATATATTTTTCATAATTAAAAATAGGTACACAATAATTTATATTAAATATAGGTACATTATTTACCCACATGTAAATTATTTTACAATATACCTGTAAATGTGTATAGGTACATTATTTGGAGAGGAAAAATAGGTACGTTATTTGGAGAGAGAAAATAGGTTCATTTAAAAAATTGCTTTTAATAAAACAAATAATAGGTACTTTATTCAGAGAAAAAAAGGCTATATTATTTATAGAAAAAAATAGGTACATTAATTAGATAAATAATAGGTACTTTATTCGTAGTAGGTATATTATTCAAATGGTAGGTACATTGGATGACATATAATACCTAAATCCTAATTGTAAGTACATTAAAATTAATGTAGGTATATTGGATGTCGTATAATGTAGGTATATTGGAATAGATAATTATGTACACTTTTCATACTAGGTAAATTATATTTTTCATAAAACAAACAAGTAATAGGTACATTATTTTTTCAACATAATCAGTATGTACAGTTTTATTCATAAACAATTATAAAGTGGATTATTAGTCATGTATAATTCATAAAAAGAAAATAACATAAACATTTTATTAAACAAACCGATTACCCAAATTTGAATTTATTGTTAAATTTTTTAAAAAATGTTTCAAAATTAATTCTTACATCCATTACAACCATTTGGAGATCTTTCCAAATTCAACATCTGTCATTATATACAATCCAATTAAAAACTATTTCCATATTGATTCTTACATTAATATACAAAATGCAATAATGGCTTAGTTGGGGGTATTTTTGGAATATGAAAAGTACAATAAATCAGATTTTATGCTTAATTAGGTAACTTGCTGAGTTAGATCCTAGTCATGGGTTTTTACTTATACAAATTGGGTATTATTTATAGGAACAAAAAGTGAAGGGTTTTAGGTACGGCAAATTGAATTTGAAGGGTGTAAGCCAAATTTACTATTTTTATTTCTATTGTCTTTTATTTCTATACAAGCCTGTATATATGCAGCAACAATGAAGCAAGAATGAACCAGGTAAGATTGGTTTTAGTGTTTCTTGGTTAATGGAATACTGAAGTCAAACATATCATGTGCTCTTCACCGTTTACAACTAAACTAAACAAAACCTTTGGAAATATATAGCTCATATGTGGCGTAATGGCCTTAGGCCCTTAGCTAATCATAATTGTTTTGGGAACAACTCTCTGCATTGTGCGCTCATGCTGAGTTGCATCCAGCACTATGACTAAGTACTGTGAAAACATCCTATCAGCCACAATCTTCGTTAGAAGCATATGATCAGTCATACTCATATGTTCGACTACCGGAGTGCAATCCTGATAGCCTAAACCATATTCTTCATGAAGTACGCATACAACTTTATTCCGGAAACGAGACCTTTACATATAGTTTACCATCTCTTAGATCTCCTTTCATTTTGCTTTTTTTTTGTCCTTTCTTGTTGAGAAGATTCACATATGTTTTAGGCTTACTATCACAAAATGTCCCTGACGTTTGCGAAACTATCAGATTGCATCCTTAAAGGTTTTTTTGTATCATTCGTGGTCCTTAACGTTAATATGGGTGCTCTTAAATAGTCCATCTGTTAAAAAAATTGTTAAATCCCCAATTTTATGAGGGATATAATCGTCAACTCCCATTGTATCATCAACCTCCACCTCTTCTGCATATGTTACTTGCTCATATACACTATCTAAGAACTCCGTATCATCTTCTTCACTCTCTTCATCTACTTCATGGCCTCCCTCAGCCCATTGCAGTGACCGCACCAAACTGCCCCAGGAAATAAACAAATAATTACTGCCTGTGACTCATGCAACAAGTCTCTAATCTTCCCGAGGAGTAAACATTTTTAACTATTATCATGACAGTAGATCAGAAGACAGTTTTCTGCATCATTTTCTGTCCCCAGGTAAATCCTTTATTATCCCATTCAGGGTAACAAGTTCTAAAATATCCTAAACAATGCAACAAGGAAATAATTAAGCATAATGCAGACCAACCTGTAAATACAACAGAATGTGTCTAAAGCAACAAGAAGCATGTCAGCTTAAGTTGTTTCTGGCAAACATGTTAAACAGATTTTATATGCATTATGAGCCATCCCCTATCAATTTCCTTCTCAATGGTCCTTTGAATAAAAGCATGCATTAACACAAATCAATAGTTTATATTGCTTTCCAGCCATGGCCCATGAGAAAAAGCATTTACATCATCAGAATGCTCACCTGAACTAGAAACTCAGATCCTTTGGTTTCCTTATCACCAAAAAGCACAGGGATGGATATTGCACTTTTGTTTTTGTTACTCAGAAACTCAGCATCTCCCTGTTGTATGACCCTCTTGTCTTTACCCAGCAATGATGAACCAACTTGAGCATTTTGTGCACTTGAACTGTCAGATATATGTGAACTCTCACTTCTCAGATTAATATTGGGAAAACCACCATATGAATCATAATATTTTGCAAGAGATGAGTGCTTATTAGAAATTCAATATGATGTACTGAGTCATGGTCTATGCTTAATTTACACCTTTTTGCAGAGCAAGGTGTTATCAGTTCTTTGTCTCGTTTCTCATTTTTGCCAGGAAAACCAAATACTTTACTATCTTGACATTGCAGAGTTTCCCTCTCACAAATAAGCGGCTTTTTCTCATTTCGGAATTGATTATTTGAACACTTCAATGACACAGACTGATCCTTATAGGAAGTAAGAGATGAGCTATTGGCAAGAAGAACTTCCCCTAACATGCTTGAAAGTTTGTCCCTGCTAGCTTTAAGTAGGGAAGAAGATGACTTTACAGGGAAAGAGCTGGGAATGCTAGTGAAAATGAAGAGAGTGAAGAAGATGATACGGAGTTCTTAGATAGTGACTATGAGCAAGACACAGATGCAGAAGAAGTGGAGGTTGATGATACAATAGGAGTTGATGATTATATCCCTCGTAAAATTGGGGATTTAACAGTTTTTTTAGAGCACCTATATTAACGTTAGAGACCATGAGTGATACAAAAAAACTTTAAGGATGCAATCTGATAGTTTCGCAAACGTCAGGGATGTTTTGTGATAATAAGCCTATGTTTTAATTATTCTTAGGGAGCTGATTTTCCCACTCATTTTTTGTCCACTTACACTCCCTTTTGTTTCTTAATCAATTTTGTTCTTTCTCTTTCTTATTCTACCCTTATCATGCTTTCATTTCTTTTTACTTCACTTTTTTATTATTTATTTTTCTTTATACTTAAATTTCCTACTTGCACTCTATTTTCAATTTTTTTTCCTTTCATCGAGTAAGTTGTATATTGTTAAGGTAGAATTGTATGTAGATGTTTTTTCCTTTAATTAATTGCTCTTAAAAGGAAATGAAAAATATTTCGTCTAATTTTATTTTTCAAGAGCAAGAGAACGTCTTTAAGTATCCTATCCGTAGATTATTATTTTTTTCCAAGTATTAATTAACTCTTTTTCGGTGCATCAAGAAGTTATGCACCAATTATCTATATAATTCTGCCTTGTATACGGTGCTAATTATTTCTTATTCAATGAAAAGACAAAAATATTAAAATTGGAGTGCAAGTAGGAAAATAAAGTATAAAGAAAAAGAAATAATATAAAAGTGAAGTAAAAAGAAATTAATGCAAAGTAAGGTAGAATAGGAAAGGGAAAGAACAAAATTGATTATATAGTAAGTGGACAAAAGGGGAGAATCAACTCCCTATTCCTTTTGTATTTATTCATTGTTTTTCTGTGTTGTTTTTGGATTCCCAATTATGATGTGTATGATAAGCAGGATGCAGAGTCCTGATCTCTCTATGTTTTGTCATTCGATCAATATGTTTTACTGGTAAAAGAAAAATTATTTGGACCTCATGTGTTTGTTGTTTCTGTATTCTAATGATTAGTTTTCAATTTTAAATGAAAACTTCCATGCCTAATGATTAGTTCACAATTGTTGAAGTGGAACTGCTCTCACTAGCAACAAGTACTACTTTACTCTGTCTCACCTTTAAAGTGAGTTCATTCCAAATAAACAGTGACCTAATTTACAAAAGTGGTATATTAGTAAAGAGGATTCATACTAACTTTCAATCATTTTTAAAGAACGCAAAAGCAAGAAGGCAAGAGCTTCAGCAGTCTCTCAGAAGAAGGCAAAACCAATGAAACGCGGTGTTTCACTTATTCACTCTATCAAAGAGGTGCCACGACGTGGTTTGGCAAGGCTGGTCAGGTGCCACAACGTGTAATTGCCGAAAAAAGCAAAGTCGCAGATTGAGAAGAGAGAGGGAGATGGGGCTACGATAGAGGCAACAATCGTTTATAAAGAATGCAAAAGCAGGAAGGTAAGAGCTGAGAGCCAATCAATAGGTCCTATCTTGAATTCTTGCGCTTGAGAAGGTGCACATTGCCATATAAGTTTGAGGATGTTACGATTTCTGCCCCGAAACTCACTGTTGTTGAACATCGCGGCCATCTCAAATTCAATGATGTCTTGCCTCTTAATGCTCCTCAGTTGACAAAGATATTATTCCCCACATGGAAAGAGCACATGATACCTCCTTCCATTTCACACTTAACTGGTTTTGCTCAGCTTGAAAATCTCACCCTGCGCATGTTTCATGGACAAGTAAGCTATATAAGTAAATATTAATTACTATATAGAATGTAATTAACCTCAGCTTATACATCTTTCTTATTATGTGTCTGAATCTGCAGATGACAAGATTGCGGAAAACATCGCGCCACTTGGGAATCTTAAGCAATTGGAGCTGTGCTTAGATGTACGTGACGAATATTTTGGATACTCAGTTCTGTTGTGGGTTGTCCTCTTTCTGAAGGCTTCTGCTCTTTTGCAGAAACTTACATATAGGGCGAGTCTGCATATTTAAAAATAAATCTTGGGTCTAATTACTCAATTATTGGTTTTTTTTTAAGTACAAGCGATAATCTAAACTAAAGGGGAGGTGAATTTCTCACATATATATACAACTATATGATGTTGTGGGGATTCAAACATGAGATCTCTGGTCTGCAAGTCAAGACCCTTTTCTACTGGGCTAGACTCCGTTGGCTCCATTGCCTAGTCTTTGTAGCCCAAGAAAATGAAAATGTCCAAACCGACATGTCGTTGCGTTTATAACAGCCTTCAAAGCCAAACCCTAAAATTTTGCTCATAATAACTGATTCCCTTTCCTCGCAAAGCATCATGTGTTTCGATCTGGAATCGGATCAATCTCCAATCAATGGCTTGTGTGTCGGCTGTTTCGGGTTTTAGAGAAGATGGGTCTGAGGATGATAATGAAGTGCTTGAGATTGAGGTCAATGAGGTCCTTTGGCGTCGGTTGAAAAGGTATTCCGTTAGTCAATTAACAGTTGTTAATTTCTTTCTACAGTTGGTTAATTAGGGTTTAGGGTTTAAGGTTTAGGCATGGCAACCTAACTAGTTTAATTAATTATTTAATGACAATTGGGGTAATGAAATGTCTGTACTTAATAGTACATTGGTTTTTTTATGCGGTAATAATCAACATGTACTTTAATTTAGTCATATGAAACTGCACTCAGGGAGGAGCGTAGAGAAGGAAGCACTTGGCCGCAGGCTGGTGAGAGGAAGGAGGAGGAGATGCTCCTGGGAAAACTGGTGAGAGGAAGGAGGATGCTCCGGTGAAAACTCTCTATTCATCACCAGCTTCCCGATCTACAATGCGAAGATAGATTTCATTCAGGCAACTGAAGATGGTCCTGCCTCGTAATTGTGTTCAACTTCACAGGCTTTGTATGGCCCCATTTTTATGTCCTCATCACTGAATTTTTTGTTACTTTTGGAGTGGTCTTGGGTGTAAGTTTTTTGAGTGCTTGAGTAGTAAGAAATTGTGCTGTGTTGGTTGTTTTGATTTGCTTAGCATAGCGGGTAGGAGAATCAGAGATTTGTAAGGCTAGAGGCAAGGATGATTCCAAAATTCATTATTATGTGCTGTTGATTATTCAAAATGTCATTGATGGTGCCAAAAAAAGAAAGTAAAAAAATGACTTTCTATAATTTATAATGTTGTCATGTTGTTGTTTCATTCTCACATCGTATCTTAACACAAATATAAGTCGCTAAAAGATTACACCATTGGAAACTAACATAAAAATCCAAAAGACAGCCCCATATACACTTATGACCACAATACTTTTCTTCTTTGTGCTGACTTGAAACTGTGTTTTGGAGTTGTGATCAAAGTTTATTTTCTTATTTGAATTTGATAGAACACCATCATCCAAATCCAAAACAAATTTGTGTACTCTTTTGGACTTGTCGGTTCATAATCATGCTGTGTATTCTTCCAAATAATTCTTCTTCTTTGGTTTTGGGTAGAGAGAGAGACCGGGAAATAGTTCGTGAAAAGCTTCCAGACAGTTCCTGCCAGTCCAAAACTCGCAAGTGAAGACCCACTTTTTCCACTTGGTTGGTACCATGGGATGTGGCATGCTTATTGAAGCACAAGTTGGGTGTTTGACTTTAGACTACTGCTTATAATTAAGACCAGTTTTGCTAAATTTAATTTACTATGCTTTGTTTAGACTACTGCTTAAATAAAGAAGCCTGTGTGCATGCAAGAATGAATCAGGTTAGACTGATTATTCTAATGTTTCTTGGTTACAAGGGGAATGAATTTAAAGGGAACTACAAGCTGAGGGGCCATTTGGGATTTCTCATGTTATAATCAAATTCTTGGCTAGGCACCTCTTATTCTCATGTTTTCGATTCAATATCTCACAACTTCATCTCCTTCCTTTCTAAATGGAAGGATTGATGATGCCTTTGTGAGATGCATTCCCAAAGCCCAATGCTTTTTTGGTTAGTACCCACAACGCTATCTTCATAGACTTTTATGAAAGCCTTGCAAAGATGTTCATCTTCTACTCGTGACCAATTTCGTCTCTTCAAAGTTCGGGACATTTTTCAAACAATATGAATAACAAAATAAGTAAAGAAAATATATTTGTAGGAAATGTTTGGATGAAATGAGTGTGAAAATATTTGACAAAAAGAAAGAGTGGAAAGTTGTGAATAAGTATAGAATGTGATAGAATTTGTAAGAAATGTGGAATGAAATGAGTGGGAAATTTTTTTTGAAGAAATTTTGATGTATTTATAGACATATTTTAGGTTTTTAATTTTTTTTAAAATAAAAATTTGGTTTCGTTTCAATGGTGACCTCCAACGATCATAACCAATTTTTGTATATATTTTTAAACAAAACGAATTTAAATATTTAAAAGGGTTTTAAATTTAAAAAAAAACTTTTCAATCAATGGTTTTGACCTCCAATGTTCATAAACGAATTATATATATATAATGAATTTTAAAACATTTAAAGAAGGTTATTAAAAAAAAACCTAACAGCTAGCTGATGTCATCACGCCTTTAATATTGGCTGTTGGATCTGCAAATTGTACGAGATGTTTCGTGCTCTTGCCCACGCGAGATACTTTTTCTTCTTGGAAAGCACATGCGCTGAGCCCACAAAAAATTTGGTCTATGCCAAAGTTGGGCTATAAATGGCCTGATTGGAAGGCTAAATGGCCCAATGTAGCCCTCCAAATTTGATCAAAAAAATTTTTAGCCCATGACTAAGGATGAGTTTTGCACTATTTTAGGGTCATATTTGGAATATGACCATGGCTGAAGATGGCCCAACTAAACCCACCAATGAGGCCCTCGGTTTCGTAGTCGGCCAGCAAGCATATCCCAAACCCGATGTTTAAAGGAATTGAAACAGATTATCCAGACCAATAAAAAAGGACTAAAACAAATTCAAAATCTCCAAAACTCGCTAGGTAAGTCGGCAAATTTAATCCTGAACCCGATATGTAAAGGACTAAAACAAAAACAAAATCTCCTAAACTCACTAGGTTTGGTTGAGAGCTGGCAAAAATGAAATCCAAAACTAGATAGGTAAAGGACTAAATCATCTATAAAAAGCCTTGAATCAGGGTTCCAAAATCGTAAGTTGAGTTCTGCTCATAACACAAAATTTCCCAGTTTTCTATTTCTAGTTCATAGCAAACCATCGTACGTGGCCTTTTCTTTTTCGAATCAATCAATCTCCAGTCAACAAGTATGGCTGCTGCCACTGAAGATGTTTTCACGAAGCTCGACCACCTTTCCTTGCTCTCCAAGGTAGTTTCAGAGCTCGAAACTCATACGGGGTTAGGGGACGTTGTTCTTGCAGAGTTCATCACTGACTTGGGACGAAGCTGCGAGACTGTCGACGAGTTCAATTCCAAATTGCAGGAAAACGGTGCCCAGATGGCGGATTACTTTGTCCGTACACTCTTCACCATCATTCACGCAATCAGTCGTCCGAAGCCGCCGAAGCCTGAGAAGGTCTCGAAGAAAGACAGAGTCTTTGAGCCCGTGAAGGAAAATAGAAATTGCAGAGAAGAAGATGAAGAAGAAAGACGTGGAGGCAGGAGGGATAGATATAGATATAATGAACGAGATAGACATGAGAGGCGTATAAGTGATGAAGAAAGGGAAAGAAGGCATGCGGATTTAGGCAATGAACGTAACAGAGATGGGTGTGAATTGTATACTGTTCATAAGGGTAGGGTGGCCAGAGTGATGGACAACGGTTGCTTTGTTCAGTTGAATGATCAGGGAGGGAGGGAGGGTTTGGTTCATGTTTCGCAGATTTCGAATCGGAGAATTCGTAATGCCAGGGATGTGGTGAAGAGGGATCAGGAAGTTTTTGTTAAGGTGGTTTCGGTTTCGGGTAGGAAGTTGAGTCTTTCGATGAGGGATGTTGATCAGCGAACTGGGAAGGATTTGCTTCCCTTGGAGAAGAAGAGCTCGGAGGGTGACGGTCTTAGGACAAACCCATTGGCGTCAAAGGATAGGACTGTGACTAGGATTGGTATTTCTGGGATTAGGATTGAGGAAGAGGATGATGTTTTTGCCCCATCGCGCCGCCGGCCATTGAAGAGAATGAGCTCGCCCGAGAAGTGGGAAGCCCAGCAGTTGATTGCCTCTGGTGTTTTGAGCGTTACAGAGTATCCAATGTATGATGAAGAAGAAGCAAATGGTATGCTTTATCAAGAAGAGGGAGCTGAGGAAGAGACTGAGGTTGAAACCAGGGAGGACAAGCCGGTGTTTTTGGAATATTCTTTGGACATGTCCCCTGTGAAGATCTTGAAGAATCCAGAAGGGTCATTGAGCCGCGCAGCTGCACTTCGATCTGCGCTAGCTAAGGAGGATAGAGAAGTGAGCAGGCTGGCAAAAACCATGTTGAATTCTATCCCAAAGGATCTGAATCGTCCCTGGGAAGATCCAATGCCAGAGGCTGGTGAGAGGCAATTTGCACAAGAGCTTAGAGGTGTGGGTTTGTCAGGATATGAAATGCCTGAGTGGAAGAAGGATGCTTTAGGGAAAACCATCAGTTTTGGGCAGAGGTCAAAGCTCTCAATTCAGGAACAGAGGAAGAGCTTGCCTGTCTACAAGCTGAAGGAACAACTGATTGAGGCGGTGCGTACTAATCCAGTGCTCGTCCTCATTGGTGAGACTGGTTCTGGTAAAACAACCCAGGTAACGCAGTACCTTGCAGAAGCGGGTTACACGACAAAGGGCAAGATTGGATGTACACAGCCACGTAGGGTGGCTGCGATGTCTGTGGCCAAGAGGGTTGCTGAAGAGGTTGGTTGCCGTTTGGGAGAGGAAGTTGGCTATACAATTCGTTTTGAGGATTGCACTGGACCAGATACTGTCATCAAGTACATGACCGACGGTATGCTTCTTAGGGAGATTATGATTGATGAGAACCTTTCTCAATATTCCGTGGTCATGCTTGACGAAGCTCACGAGAGGACGGTCGCTACAGATGTGCTTTTTGGTTTACTTAAGCAGCTTTTGGACCGGAGATCAGACTTTCGTTTGATTGCCACATCTGCTACTCTGGATGCAGAGAGGTTTTCAGAATATTTCTGCGACTGTAAAATCTTCACCATCCCCGGGAGGCCTTTTCCCGTAGAGAAATTATACACAAAGCAGCCAGAAAGTGATTACCTTGACGCAGCTCTAATCACTGTCCTACAAATCCACTTAAAAGAACCCGAAGGTGACATCCTTCTCTTCTTGACTGGACAAGAAGAGATTGATTTTGCCTGCCAGACTCTATATGAGAGGATGAAAAGTCTTGGTAAAAATGTTCCTGAGTTGATTATTCTACCAGCATATAGCGCCCTTCCGAGTGAAATGCAGTCGAGGATATTTGATCCTGCTCCACCAGGGAAGAGGAAAGTAGTTGTGGCTACTAATATTGCTGAGGCATCACTGACCATTGATGGGATATTTTATGTAATTGATCCGGGGTTTGCTAAACAAAATGTTTATAACCCAAAGCTGGGGCTTGATTCACTGATCATAACTCCAATTTCACAAGCGTCGGCTGAGCAACGAGCTGGGCGAGCAGGGCGTACAGGCCCTGGGAAATGTTACCGCCTCTACACTGAGAGTGCATACCGCAACGAGATGTCCCCAACTACAACTCCAGAAATCCAGAGGATAAATCTGGCGTCTACTGCACTTATGATGAAAGCTATGGGGATAAATGATCTCCTGAAATTTGATTTTATGGATTCTCCTCCACGCCAAGCACTCGTTTCTGCCATGGAACAACTGTA